AATTAGGCCTATTCCACCTTTCTTGAGAAAGAATACCACTAGGCTTCGTCCAAAACGCCAGCCTGGCACATCTCACAGATCTATTCACTGTTTGCTCAAGGAAATTTGCTTCATCTGTATTCTCGCGGGCAACTTTCCAAACAGGTTTTCAGCCTGAAGTAATTTCTAGTTCCCCCCCTTTTTCTTTCAAGAGAAGCGAGAGAGAGAGAGAGAACCGGTGGCGTTTTGTTGTGATTTCTCTTTGCTTTATTTTTGAGTCGTCAGGCCGTGACGAGGCAGATGAGAGATGAGAGAGAGACAGGAGGAGGAGAGAGAGGTAGAGAGACATAGAGGAATGTAGCGGGAAGAGAGAGACAGAGAGTCTAATGGACCTTATTTTCTGGATGGGGGAGCTCGAATATATTCTGCTTTATCTCTGTATTTTTTTTCTCCCGGAAACAGTGAATCAATCAAACATTTAAGTAGGTGCTGGGCTCCTAAGTCAGCTCCTATAAAAAGTAAATAAATAAAATACAACAGGGGATGCATAATGACCCCTGCTCCCCTGGCTGTCTCTGTCCCTCTCTGATTCCCTGACTCCAGGATGAAAATGAAGCTACTGCCTCTGCCAACAGTTTCACTCCCTCTGGAGACATAGGTTCAGCTTTCATAGAAAGACCTTTAAAAGCCAAGACCCCTAATTTGGCCAAATCTTTGTATCTAATTTGCACCCAAAACATCCCAGAGCTGGCCAATGTTGAATGTTGAATTTCTGGGAGCAAGTGGTTTGTTTGGTCAGTGTGATGAATTACTGGACCTCTGTCACTAAACTTACACAGTTGAAAAGGATCATCAGTGCTCAATTCTTCTGTAAGGTGACATGTTTCCAAATTCATTTTTTAAGGCAACTGTCCACAAGAAAGAGATTAGATCCTTTCCAAAATGCAAAGCGTTTTCCGTGTTGTAATGGTAAAAACTGCAAGATCAAATTTAGTTTTTCTGTAGGCCATTCTGTTCGCCATTTCTCCCAATAATGCTTTATATTAAATGTGTAAAAGCATGGCATAGGGTATTTAAACTTATATCACTTATTCTGAGAATTTTGCTACAGTGGCCGATAAACAAATGCCTTTCTAGAATGCGTAAGTTATTGCGTTCGTCCTTATCAGTATTTATAGGCTTGGAAAATAAATTTCAAACACATAATCCCCACAACCTACCCCAAGAATGGTGAGAGTCTGAACGCCTAACGCCAACAGTAAATACACAGATAAGTGAATAAATAGTTATCAGGAGGTTTTTGTAGGTCACAAGTCATTCCTCTCCATCTCTTTACAAAGCAAGGCGTATTTCATGCCCTGGCCCAGATAGGAATGGTGAAAGGAACCATTTCATTTACTCTTATCTGAGCGAGAGGGAGAGGGAGAGCAAGAGAGAGGGAGCGTCCTCTCTGCAGATACCTGTGGAGGACGCAGCACAGTATAGGCTTCTACAAACGACCCTGCAAAAACTGTGCTTTTGTTCAGCGAAAGGTTTCAGGACACAATAATAAAGAGGGGAGGAGTGAATAATGTCTTTACCCAACTATACAAAATGTTCACAGAGAGCGAGAGAGTGCGTGTGAGGGGCCATGTAGGTCAGCAGGCTCATTCCTGCTTTGAGGAATATCTGAAAATGTGTGTGTGTGTTCTCTCTGCGTCTCAGTACCTAGTATGAATTTATGGTCATACACACAAAAAATAACAACAACAGTAGGGTTCAAGAGCACGCAGGTGGGCTAGGCTTAAGATGCTGACCACTAACTGCAAAATCCAACAGTTCAAGTCCAGCTGGGGACCTTTACTTCATAAGCATAACATGTCTCAAAATGTGCTAAGAAAGGACAAAAAAAGAGTGGGCAGTGGCAAATTGGAGTGGTTCCAAGTATCTCCAACAAATCGAGCATCTAATATAAATAAAATTGACTTGACTCTCAGCCCTGCACTGAGAACAGAGAGTGCAGAGTAGCACCTGCTTACATCAAAAACCACCAGCAGGCTCACACATGGAAGCCAACAAATCATCATTGCATGTGCGATGACAACATTCTTGCAGATCCATATTTCATATTATTTCAGACAGACTTCCTAGATGTTTGCCCAAATTATTACTATTATTTTATTTATTAATTTATTTATTTTTACAAATGACATAACTAGAGATGACATGAAGTGAGCATCTATGTAATCAGAGATTGAGATTGAGAGTCCAGCCTCTGAGTCCTTTATTCAGCTTTTGAAGAGCTGCGGCTGCTTTTTCCATTGCTACCAAATAATCTGTGAGCCAGTTCACCAAGATCTATCAGACTTTCGCAATTCCCAATAAATGATCCTCTTAATTTAGAGACGACTGTGTGTCACATGTGATATCATTGCGTTGCTGCCCATCAGACATACTAAGGGCATGAAGAAATGAAATGAAAGATGTCTACGTCTTTCAAACTCCATGTGCACAGTTTATAAAGAAAGGTTGTCCCACCACAGCCATGCCAACACAAACCAGAAAAAATGAAAACCCATATTCTTAAATTCAGTGGATTGCTCCTTTAATTACAGGTTTGATTATAAATAACAACCGCTTCGGACAGAGCTGATGTGACTTTATTGTCTTTAAAGTTCATGTCAGTTGTTACATTTCATGCCATTCAGACTTTGAACCCTTATTGAGCCCAGCTTTCATGGACAATGCATGAATGCCACTCTGTCTATATATTGCTAGCTTTTGTAAAGAAGCGATTGCTTTTCAAATTGCACTGTCTGCAGCAGGCATCTGTATAATGAGGCCTCTTCTGTCTCAAAAAATAAAGCTGAGTGACCATCCACATCAGCCGTGTGGGTATTTGTTTAACTCCACAGAATGAGACTGTCTCTACATTTCTGTATTTATGCTCCATGTGTGGATCTATTTATGTTTGAGGCTGTGTGTGTTTGTGTGTTTCTTTATTTTATGCTATTGGAGGAAAGAAGAGGACAGGGGGGACAGATTCGGGGGACAGGTTCAGGGGACAGCTTTGTGTTTAAGGGGGTATCCCTGCTGGGGTAATGTGTTTAAAATCTATTACCCCCACAGCTAGGATTAGTGTGTAAGAGTGTATGCGTGTGTGGTTGTGTGTTTCCCCTAAAGACGTAATCACTATGGTAATACAAAAGCCAGTGGATTATGTGGTAGAAAAAAACTGGTTGATTTACGCTCTGCCTTTGGTAGGATATATACATATACAGTACATACGCACAGTATTGGGGAGAGAGAGGATTGCCCAAATTGTTCTCCTTTTCACTTTCTCCCTCCTACAGACAGTTTCCCAGTACTGCTGACTATATGAGCTCATGCAGGGGTTAGCAATGTCATCTCAAAGCAAGAAGCGCCTGCCTGGGCTCTGACCTGGCTTGGCCGACTGGAGACTTTCAGTAGAGAGTTTCTAGAGGTGTGAATGCATTTGTCTGACTAAGTGCTTGCACTCCGTTACTCACCTGTCCAGGATCTACCCTGCCTCTCCTCCGGTGCATGCTGGCATTAGAGCTAAGACAATTAGTCAGTTAAGCAGCAATTAGTTTGACAACTGATTAAACGAAAAATGAACGAAAAACTGAAAATCTTTGCAAAACATGTCAAGACATTGTTCATCATTTTCTGATTTCTATGAACTAGATGGATGCTAACTGTATCCCTATAACCTGCTTGTTTATACTTAGCTCCAGTTCACACCCATTTTCTACTTATTGTCCCAGCTTCTTTGCCTCTGCTGTTTAAATCTTTCGTTTGTCAGATGAATAAACATGCAGCTATGATTGCCTTATGGTTACAGTAATGAAAGAACAAAGGATTAAAACAGTTTATAACAACCCCACAACCAAAATTATGTAAAGGTTCAGCTTTTTCTATTCCAGTCTATTCTCATGTATACAAGTCTTATTCTCTTCTTATACTTTGATACCTCAGGGGGAATATTAGTGGTATCTTTCAGTAAGGGGCCAGGGCAAGGCCTTGGTCAATAATTAATTGAAATCCCTTCATTTACTTAAGATCTTAGCTTACTCTGCCCTGGGTGAAAATGGACAAAGTTTGCACTTTGGAATAGTCCAACTGTTACTATTATGCTGAGCCAGATAAATCAGTGGCAGGAGATAAATCAGATATATTTGAGATTATTCAGCTCTGCTGAAGTTAATATTTCTCAAACGAACCTCAGAAACAAACACAATATGGAGTTGTTGTTTTGTTTAAAGCCTTGGTGAGCAATTGTCAGTTGACTTTTTTCTTTGCATAACTGGATGATAGAAATCCATGAGGGTGAGAACAGGCGGCATTTAAGCAAATAAGATAAAATATGGGTGCTTTAATCCAGACTGGAATGTAACTACTGGATCCTGATGAATGACCAGTGATGTTGAAATGTGTAAACATTACTGATAAATGGCTGTCTGAACAGCCTTTTCAACAAGGCATTCTGACTCCAACTGCTTCAATGGCTCAGCAGTCAGCAACAGAAGACTGCAGTTGCACTGAGCGGCTCTTGTGTGCAAATGTGGATTTTGGTGCAAGTGAGGTCCACTCCTGAAAACTTCACGTCAGTCTGTCTTTTTCCAAATATGATTTTATTTAATCTTGAATGAGATAATTTGAGTTTGACAGAAGAATCATGAGCAAGAGTTACCTCCCATTTGTCACATTCTTGTAACTCCAATTTTCTGTCTTTTAAAAAATGTAATTAGAAGAAAGACCAGACCTTGGACACTAATGATGGAGTAATTAATAGGTTTTTATAATTGAATTTGTTGATTACTGTGTACTTTTTATTTGTTGCACATGTAGCTAAAGCCTTCTTAAACCTTCATTTGGTCCCTCACATTTGAATAAGTTTATCTTTGATTCATTTCATTGCCTGTAACCAAAATAAATTTGTCAGAGGCTTATTCCTCTCTCTCCTTCTCTCTCTCTCTCTCATCCTTGACCTTCTGTTGATTCGTTTCTCTCCTTTGTAGGACATGGTGGGGTGAACCAACTTGGAGGTGTGTTTGTAAACGGCAGGCCCCTCCCAGATGTTGTGCGGCAGCGAATAGTAGAACTCGCCCACCAAGGGGTTCGGCCCTGCGACATCTCACGCCAGCTACGAGTCAGCCACGGATGTGTCAGCAAGATACTGGGCAGGTAAAAGGCACACAAACAACTACAACCATATGGTGACAGTTCTGAAAAGCATCAACACCCTTTTTACACACACAACAGTGTGCCAACAGACTGGGAGGCTGTGCGACCTGTGAGGCCTCGGACAGTTGGCTAAGGTGAATAAAGATGTTGGGTTCAGACAGTCATGACAGTTCTTTTTACGCATTGGAATTGAAACAGGAGAGCTAATAATATCTGGTTCAGTTTTGGGTCATTCTGGTTAGTTAGTTTTTTTATCATCAGGAGATAAAAAAAGGAGGAGAAATTAACACACAAAAGGCCGATTCAGTGTTGTCTAAGCGTGTGAAGCTCCTTTAAGTTCACCCTGACTCGTTTAGTGCCCATTGTGCCATTTCTTCAATTCCCCCAAGATGCACAAGATGCATTTTCAGCGCTGTCTGCCGTCATCTTTGCTTGCCTCTTAATTCTCTATCTCTTGTTTCTCTCACTCTGTTCTCTGGTCTCTCTTTTTTTTGTGGCTTTTAACCTCCCTCTCCCTCTCCCCGCTCTGTATCCTGTATTTCTCGTCCAACCCCTCTCAATATTTCCCTGTCTCTCCTCACCCCCTTTTCTCTCTTTCTCTCTCTCTTTGCCTTTTCAAAGCTAAATTCAAGAGCAAATCCCTGCTCGCACCGTCCCCCAGAGAAGAAAGGTAGACAAAAGGGAAAAGATTCATCACTTTTTGGAATTAGCATCAAAATGAAAGTGGCACCATATTTCTGCACCCCCTCCAAAAAAAGAAGACAGAGGGAGATGGAGAATAGGAGAAAGACTAGAACAAGGAATACAATCAAAAGCGAAAAGGCGTGTTAAAGAAGAAGGGTGCAGGAAAAAGAAAAAAAATGAGAGAAAGAGAGACCATTTGAGGGGACGGAGGGGAAGGATTAGCTACAGCGACCCTCAGCTATATCAAGAAATGTGTTGCTCATTGTTCTCCCTTGCCTCCCTTTCTCTCTCTCTCTTTCTGTCTTCCTCTCTCCTCCCTCTCTCTCTCTCCTCTCTCTCTCCCCTGTCCTGGCCGTTCAACTCACTGAAGCGTTACCGTGAGGGGGGAGGAGAGGGGATCGAGGGATGGAAGGAGGGAGGGAGGGTTGTTTTATCCTCTCCTCTCTGTCTCTCTGGTGCCAACAGAACAAAAACACCAACTCTACCACGCTGTATGTGTATGTGTGTGTGTGTGTGTGTGTGTGTGTGTGTGTGTGTTGGCGCATCGTTGTGCGGATATCAATAACCATGCTCGTTTATTCACCAATGATTCAGCTGTGAATAATTTAAATAGTTTTCCATTTGGAAATAGATTGTTTTTCCTTTTAGCTGTGTTTATACTCCAGCTGTGAATAGTCAAAATCTGCAACACACACACACACACACACACACACACACACACACACACACACACTGACACATACACACACTCAAAAACAAAGACAAGGAAACGCACATTTACAGGAACACACATCTTCACGGAAGGGATTACTCCACCATACAGCGGTGGAGGGAGAGAGAGAGACAGAGAGAGCAGCAGGTTTAAGACTGACTGACAGCTTGCATCCACACACAGCATCCCCCCTTTTCTGCAAGCTGTGTAGCACATTTGCTGTCCTCCCACCCCCTTACCCCAATGCCCCTTCTGCATGCAAATACATTCATGAAATAGCCATGGTGGACACGAAACGCCTGAATCCATGAGTGTGTGTGTATCAGTGCCACCCTCGTCTTACCGCTGTGTCACAATGTGAAATTACCAAAGAAAACTACAGCCAGCAGCACTCATGTCAGAGATCCTTCAAATTTTTGGCATTACATTCAGTCATTTAGCTGATACTATTATCCACATTTTGTTCTAACGACTGCGACATCACAAACATCTATTAGCAAAGTTTCTGTATTACCTGAAATTAATCCGCGAACTTCAACTGAGAGGAATGAAGAGGCCAGGTCAGTTTCACACGTAGTGAGTCCAGGGAACCTTAACCTACTGATGGGCTTCACCATATAATTTACAATTGTCTTAAATTTAACAGTTATCATTTTCTTTAATTCATTCAGAGTTATTGGTTGCTGTAATTATGTCTCCTGTGCATACTGACCATTGTGTTTCCTTGCAAATGTAAGAGATGGGCGATACAATCCACAGTCCTTGTACCATGCAAAAGCACATAATTATGTTATTATTATGATATAGTTATGTTCAACAGAAGCTAATATGAGAATTCTGCAGTCTGAGGTGGACAAATTATGTGGATATCTTCCACATATCGTCTTTTTAGTGCAAAATTCCCTCTTTATGTTTCCCTGCTAAACTGCAGTGGAAGTATATGCACATACACAGAGGCAGTTTCAGCAGAACCATTGATTTGACCATTGATGCGACTCATATGAGCTTCAGCTGAATTTAAGCATGCATTTATGCACAGGAGAAGGACTGTGCATAACATTAATAACTTCACTTGGTCAGAAAGGACAGTAAGAACATAAAAGGCCCACAATTACTCTTTTAATTTTCATGGGCAAGTGAATGTTGTTTTAAAACAGACTTGAAAAAGATGTGAACCTACCTATCCTGTAATAAACGAGACACAGGACAGGAGGATCATCTTTTACCAAGATCAGGTGCATGGCGGAGGAGGGCAAGGGACAGGCCAGAGGGACGTGAAGTGTTTTTGAAGAGAGACAGAGAGAAATCCTGACCGCAGTGGGAAGGTCATTCCTCCACTGAAGATCCAGGAGGGGAAAGAGCTGAGTCTGAGCGGAACAATGTCCAAATCCCCACAAGGGGGTTAGAACTAAAGGGCCAGTAGATCAACAGAGTGGTGATTTTTTTTGTATACTAATTCTTTGAAGTCTACTTGGTAACCTCTGTGTTCAGCAGTAAAGCAGATCCATTTTTCAGCCTTCAGAGGTAAAGATGGAGAGATGATCAAACAACAAAAAGGCATCTCTGGTGTCAATAATACGTCATTTAAAGGAGAAGGCTGGTGATATTCTTGTTTTCTTCAATTCCAAAAGACCAAAAGCTGTTTTTAGGAAATGACATAGCTTAAAAAAATAGAATCCTGTATTTATGAGCCATTTTTAAAGATTTACATTTTCTGTAGGAACCAATGGGTTTGGAACTGAGAACCACAAACACATTGGTTGTGAATAAAAAAAGTATCACATAGCGCCAGCCTTGTCCTCTAAAAATATTTTGCACCAATGTCAGATCAATCACGTGATTTAACTGCTTAGCCTCATCATACTTACATGTTTTGTTGTTTTATTATTATCCCATTTTGGATCTTTTAAATTTAAAATATTACTCATTAACACACTACATTATAAACACCCTGTGGGACTGGGAGCAATAAACTGAAAATAAGTTGAATGTAAACATTTAACCTTCCAGCAGCTTTAATCAAGACTTCTTCTAGAAACACTACAACCTTCTTGTCTTTGCGTCTCATGACCAACACGAGATTCTTCTATGCTTTGATTGGCAGGTACTATGAAACGGGCAGTATCCGCCCCGGGGTAATCGGGGGATCCAAACCAAAGGTTGCTACTCCCAAAGTGGTCGACAAGATCGCCGATTACAAACGCCAAAACCCCACCATGTTTGCCTGGGAGATCCGGGACAGGCTCCTGGCCGAGAGAGTGTGTGACAACGACAGTGTCCCCAGTGTCAGCTCCATCAACAGGTAATCTGCGTGTGTGCATGTGTGTGTGTGTGTTTGAGTATCAACTTATAGCAACAGGTATTGAGTGTAGGTAGAGCAGAGAGAAATATAATACTATGTGTTTTATGTGTGTGTGTGTGTGTGTGTGTGTGTGTGTGTGTGTGTGTGTGTGTCCGGGAGTGGAAAGGAGAATGGCAAAGAGGCCCCGGTCTCCATATGTATGAAGTGGCTGCAGCTCAGTGGTTCAACACGATGGTACAATGACAACCCTTTCCCCTGAGCATAGAGGCAGAAAGAGAGGGAGGGATAGTGAAATAAGAGAGAGAAGGAGTGAGCAAAAGAGGCAGACAAAAGAGAAGGAAGGTGTGCGAGAATAAGGAAAGAAACAGACACAAAAGGAAAGGGAAGAAAGGGAAAGGAAAGGAAAGGAAAGAAGAAGACAGGAGAGGAGAGGAAAAGGGGAGGAAAGGAAAATAAAGAGGAAGAAAAGGCTTGCATGAGCAGCCAAGCAGGAAGTGTGAGGCCCCTCTGCCATGTCAGCCTGCCTCAGCCACTTCACACGCACATGCACACACACACACACACACACACACACACACACACACACAGTTTTGCTCCCACGATGGTCATGTTCTCTCTGTCACTCAGAATCCTCTCTCTCTCTCTCTCACACACACACACACACACAAACGACCACTTCACACACACTAATATCTCCTCTCTCCCCCTGCAGGATCATTCGGACAAAGGTTCAGCAGCCGCCCGGCCAAACGGGCTCAGTGTCGGCTCACAACTTAGGTAGGTCACTGCTATAAATTCCTGTTTCCAACTGTCAAAGCAAATTTTACAGCAGAGATGTTTTTTGTGCGAGTCTCTCAGGAGTGGAGCCCGCGTGCCGTGTGTACAGAACAATGAAACCCATTGAAATTCTGACCCTTCGTTTACAGAGAACAAATACGGTGTCCAAATTAAGTTCTTAGCTTCAATGCTTGAATTTAAGTTAAGATGTCCCGAAATGAAGAGTCTAAAATTATTGTTAGTGGGATGTAGGTGTCTGTTTTGTCCATTTTGTGCTTAATAACAACATTTGGAGGGTTTGTGTGTTCATAATTTCTTTGTGAACTGTCACAAAGAAAAAAGTCAGTGAGGAAACATTCATGCCAGAAGACGCTGCAGTATAACAGTAATGGATTCAGAAACAGTTTTTCTGTTGTAACCTTTTTTTCCCTCCCAAACGGGGATCTGAAACAACTTAATGCCCACAAAACAGTTATTATAGGCACTGAAAAGTCCGCCCTTATTAATTATTTATTATTTGGTGGTCATTTGATTAATCAAACATTTGCTTGGGAATATGCACCACTGAAACACACAATCCACTGAAATGATGTGGGCATTAAAGAAGGTCCTGAATTATTACTGTCATCTGTACCTGTCTTCTATGGCGTCAAAATCTACGTGGTTCTTATTTCCTAAATGAGTTTTTGTTCAACCAAATTATCACAAACCATTATGTGTTACATAGCCTACATGTCTGCCCCTTAGTTCATTCGGCCATGTTTCCTTTACAGTGGATTGCAAAGACGTTTTGAGTAAATAAAAAAAAGGTAGTCTTACATCTGATTTGACTTCTGGATGAGCGAAATCATTATTCTTGATCATTTTTATCTGAATCTGTAAACAATAAGGTTCCTATTGGGTGTTCCTCATTATTATGTTTATAAATTTACATTTTGAACTGAATAAACAAACAAAAAAGACCCTTCAGTTTAACAAGGTTTGGCTGTTTATTTGTAGTTTTTAAGGATGTTATAGACAGAAACAGCATATCTATTACAGCTATGAGTGAAACATTATTTTTTATTCGATTTCTCAGAGTACAAATATAAATGAGGGCCCGTCTCCCTCTCCCACTCCCTCTCTTCCTCCCTTTGCCCTGCAGTGGATTGTGTTTCGGTGTCTCTCATATCTTCATAATCGCACATTGTCTATTAATCTAAATTAATTTCACACACACTGCTCCCTGACTCCTTCCTTTTACACACACACACACACACACACACACACACACACACACACACACACACACACACACACACACATGCATACACACCTAGATGTGCCCAGAAACACACACACACACACACACACACACACACATTGCACTCTTACAGATTACACAGATAAATGGGTCCCACTCCCAGGCGGAAAATTGAACATTTGGATTTGCAGAATAAAAGCGTTACGTTCTGATAAAAAAAAGAGTGAAAAGAAAGAGAAAGGAAAATCAGATAATTGAAGTGCTAAATCAAGAGATGGGAAAAGGAGGGATATGCATTCATTATACCCTCCTTGTCGTTAGCGAAGTAGTAACGGCTGGAAGGGACCTTGATCGTCTGGTTTATCATTTTTTTTATTCCCTTTTTGGTCTTGTCTTTCTGTGTTTGGGGGTCTGCTGGGAGAGAGGATTAGGATGTCTGTCTCCACACCTTTCTGTCCCTCCTGGGATGCCATACTGTCACTCAACCCCCACGTCCGCTTACAGGGGCACAGATAAGGGACCAAGGAATGAGTGACTGTATGTTTCAGTGTGTGCGTGTGTTTGTGTGTGTGTCAGGAGGTTGCAGAATGTGTGTGTGTGTGTGTGTGTGTCACTAAAGCGGTGACAAGTATGCCACTGTATCGCCCAGCAAGGAACTTGTCTCCTCCAGGGGGAAGATTAGAGGGAGATACATCCTGTCCTTGATGCCCCACCCCCAAGCTTCAGTTTGGCCTGTTTGACTGAGTAAAGTTTCAGAAGCATCTACGTTGAGTTTAAGGACAGAGAAATGGGATTTGTACCTTCCATTGCAAAGGTGTCATAAATAATTGAATCAAGACATGTGAGTGCTGCCCGAGTAAAACTAAAAAGAAATGCTGGTGATAGAAGTAGTACTGGACATATTGAACCAGAGTTTTTGACTATGACGCAACATTACACATGCAGAAACATGCGTCACAGCTCACTTTGTGTGGGTTCTGGTTACGCACGACATTTCCACCGGGTCCTTTTATTAGAGCTCTTTTACTGGTATTTCAGGTCATAGAATGTTCTCATATATGTTGATAAATTGAGCTAAGGTATTTGTATGATAAGGAACAACAGCTATAAGGTGCTGTGTGAGCCAGTTTCGAGCCTCTGTCATGCAGTGTGAGTTTAACATCATGTAATTCTTTAAGATGCTTTTGAAATAGTACATATGAAGAACACAATAGTGTTTTTGGGCTCCTGTAAAGGTGACTGTTGTATGTATATGAGCCCAAAAAAAGGTGCTTTACAGTAGTAGTAGTCTTTTTATGAAAAATCCAACATTAATATTATTGTTTCAAGTCAAGTCTGACCCAGTTTATTGGGGCTGCAATACTATTAGTGACAGTCTGGTTTAATTTTCGAGAATTATACTGACTCATAATTGATTATGTGTGCAGGGTACTCTTTAAATATTTTCACTGAGATAAATGTAATGTAAGGTGGAAAAAATAATGGCAGCCAAATTCAAATCATTCAAATTCCTTAAACCCTAATCAACCCTACTGAGTGTTAAGACGTCCAAACAGATCTCTTTTCAATTCTGAATGTTTCTCTAAGGGCTGCTGAAAACACTCTAATCACAAGCAAGAATATATATGATTATTCTTCTGCCTTACTTGTTTTGTGATTTGTCATGTGGTCTGTCTGCAGCGACGTCCGTGGCTGCCACACAAGTGTCAGCAGTGACCAGTGACTCAGCCGGCTCCTCGTACTCCATCAGTGGCATTCTGGGTATCAGCTCAGCTGCTGACGTGGGCAAGAGGAAGAGGGACGAAGGTGAGCGAAAGAATGTGTGTGTGTGTGTGTGTGTGTGTGTGTGTGAGCTTGAGTGTATCTGTTGACCTATGTCACTGTATTTCTGTGGTAGTAACGGCACATATACAAAAACACATCATATACATAAACACATTATGTGCTGATGGACAGCCTCAGGACCCCCTCCTTACCCTTCCAGCATAGAAAGCCCAGATGGAGAGAACTCAATGACAGATGTGTGTGCATGTGCAAGATGGGAGTTATAAACCAAACATCTTCATTCGGAAAGCTCTATTTGTTTACTAACAGTGCTTCACTGGAGAGCTACCTGAGAAGTCAGTTTATGCATGCACTATTGATCACATATGCTGTCATACTGGATCAGTGTTGTATACATGTTAACAGAGGCGTGAGGTCTGTGTGTGTGTATTTGCTCACATAAGGGGGTTCTCACATGTATTGTATGTATATGCTTGTGTGTGTGCATACACATGTGCATGTTTGTGAGTGTGTATGTGTCGGTGTCAGTGGCATTAAAAAGCCATCACACAGACAGTCTCCTGCGGTAAATGAGACAGGACCAGATGTCGGAACGAGGGGGGGTGACAGAACGCCACTGGGGGCGATTTCTCTCTCTCGCTCTCTCTAACACACGGACACAAACACACACATATACATACAGTATGGGGACCTTTTTTCCACTACCCAATGAATTTCCAGAACATTCCAGCAGGTTCCAGGATAAATCGCAGGTGCACCTCGAGTGTTCTGATATTCTTGGATACAGCTCACTTACCCACCAGCAGAGCACAAAGACTTTAGACCTGACACATGCACCCCACTCACGCATGCATGCACACGCGCGCACCTCCACATGGAGGTAGCTGATAGTTTGTGGTGTCAGACTATACACCCAAAGTTTACCTTGTTTTGTGAACTTAACAGTATCTGTCCCTCAAGAATTGTGAGTTAACATGCGAGTAAAAAAATGCCAAAATATCACAAAAAAAGTTTATACGCTTGGCTGAGGCATAAAAGTATCAAGAAAAACAAAACGTGACAAAGTGCAATGGAAACAGACTTAGAAAATAAATCATGATACACATGAATCATGTGACTTATTTTTCACTGAGGCTTTAGCTCCACTGATGAGACGAAAAATTGCAACAGACAAAAATATCAAATTTGGGTGGAGCGATCAGGAGACCTTCCTTAAATTAATACATGAGATAAACTTAAATGCCATATTTCCATCACGTTTTTATAACTTTGTCTTCCACCATTTGACTGGCATTCTTCTTGCACCATCTTCTTCTGCAGTGGTTTACTGTAATGGTACCTGACTGGACAACAGAAGTGGATGGAAACATGCAGTAATTGTCTTTTCCAGAAATTTGGTTCCACTAATTTGCACTAAATTTGGATGGAAACGTACCTATAGTGGATAATGAACTAGATCAGAGGAATTGACAATATGTCGTGTTTAATACCGACCTGCAGTTGTCCTTTAAACAGTGCATATTTGGACTTTTTATAGGATGAAAAGCACAGGTGTAACTAATAACATTAATGATAGCTCAGTTTCATTTGGGTGTTCTTGTTCCAGGGCCCTGGTGCTGTGCCTGCTGGTTCGCTGACATGGATGAGTGGAGCCATTGTTAATGCTATTAGGTACACCTGTGCTTTCCCAGCTAAAACAAGTCAAAATGTATCAGGGGTCTACTTTTCTTATAAAGCCATATTTCACTGACAAGAATAATACCAGTCATGTATAATTAAGCAAATATATCCCACACCATACTGTGTGTACTCTGATGTCTGTGGCAAAGAATCTGTGGTTGGATCTTTAGTTAAGTAGAAGCTCAGTAATGTAATTAGTACTATTATCGTTTCACTTTGTTTTTTATGCGCATGACGTGCTACACCGTGTGCTACATGTGTGGTCTGTCTGTTGTTTTACTATGACTGGACCTTGTATTTCATAATTCATATGGAAAATACTGTATCACTGCACGTTTCACTGATGCATACAGAAAGTGTCATTCGAGCATTGTATCGCTCAATGTCACGTTTTGCTTGTGCGTTTTATCTGCAGTGTTTCTATGGCTGAGGTCTGCGCGGTTGGCTCTGTGGTCTAATTAACAGCATTGCTAATCACAGCTTCCATTAGAGCAGCCCCCGCTGGATAATGACACACGCACACAGCAAGGGGCGACAGGGGGAACAGCATGCACTGACATGGACAAACACATACACAGATACACAGTAATGCAAGCTTCTCACACACGCACCCATATGCTCGTCGGTACGAAAATTTATACACAGAAGGAAAAAGACGTTAACATGCACAAGTCACCCACACACAAGGCCAACAATCACACAGCCTTCTCTTGTTGACTTTGGCGTTGAATATAGTTCAGTACAGGTGAATGTGTTACATATGTGTTAATGAAACAGTTACAGTGAACCTCAGTGTATTTCATGTGCCTCAGTGCATCAGACGAGGTTCAAACCTCGACTTTCCATACATACGTATGAAGAAAAGCATTTAAAAACCTGATAAAAAAGAGTAATTAATGTTTTTGTTTCCCCAAACCAAGGTTAGGGAAAGTCAATATATCAAGTGCAAGGGCAGCCCACCCAAATGAAATTAAGAGCAGGAGAACTGTTTCCTCTCATGCACCCAAGTGGAGTAAACACTGGCTAATCCATTTAGCTCAAGAATATCATATCTTTATCTTGCAAGTGAGCAAGCATCAGAGGTGTTTTTTGTTATTGTGATATTATGAAATTGTTTAAAATTATCATATCATGATATCATCAATATATGATATATTGTCATGTGTATATTATATGACATATATGAACATGTGTTCAGGAAACATGTCTGCTGTAACTTATAAGCATAGAAATGGCAGCTGTGCAAGTGATGGGAACACAGGAAGGCGGGATCATGGCATGTGGGTTTCTGTGTGAGTGTGTGTGTGTCGGCAGGAGGAGTGTGTGGGGGTAAAGCCCTGCGGTGACCTTTGCCCCCAGCCAAAGCGAGGGGAAGTGGGGGGTGACTGGGGGCAAAATGTAGATGAATAGGGGTGAATGGAGGAACTTGACTTGTGGGGCCAAAAGGGGACTATTGTATCTTAACTTATTCTCTTACATACAGAGGCTGTGTGTGTGTGTGTGTGTGTGTGTGCACCTGTATGTGCATCCAACATGGATATGGATATCAGGCCAGGTGGTGCCTGATAGCGAATGTTCCTTTCCTTGAGTCAAAAGTATGATGTTTGAAGAACAATCATTTGCAATGGTTATTAAAAAGTCTCTTTTGCATGAAGAAGAAATAATGTCAATGGCATTTACCCAGAATGCTAAGATGACCTCTCACCCCCTTGTGCATCCACTGTGACATGCAGCAGCTTACCAGATAAAAGACGGTGGGAGTGTAAGCAAAAGATGGAGGACGGAGGAGAGGAGGGAGGGAGCTCCGCCCTTCTCCCTGAGTTCCTCTCAGTGCCTCCCGCCCCCCAAAACTTTGATCTCTGGAGTTTAGATGGGGTGTGCGCACACACACACACACACACACACACACACACACACACACACACAGGCATGCACAGGCTGGGGCTGTGAGGTCAGACTTACGACCCTTGTTCTATCAGTATGATAATCTATGTCAAGTGCAAAAAGATGCACACTGGTGGTGTCCTATCGCCTGCAGACAGACAGACAGAAACACACACACACACACACTTGCACTGATACACGCACAGGTGACAACCCATCTAACTCTCAAAGGTATTTAGATTCAATAATTCAACTGTTCCTGGGTTGTTGAAAAAATGGCAAAGGCAGGCCGATGCAGACGGTGATGGAAAGAGGGAGAACCAAGAGAGAGAGGGGGAAAGAGACAGAAAAGGCGGAAGAGAGAGGAAAATGGCAGAAAGGAGAGAACAATAAGGGCTCATTGTTTGTTTTGTTCTGCTCTGAAAAAGAGGGAAGAGACGCGCTTCCCTTCTGAGACTGACTCACAGAGATAGAGGCAGCTGTGAGTATAGTGTGAGTGTGTGTTTGTGTGTGTGTGTTTGTGTGTGTGTGTGTGTGTGTGTTTGTGTCCAACAGTGAATGGGATTTAACCCGTCACGGCAATGAGTTTCTTTACCCATCCATGGATACAATGAGACCAGCCGGATATCAAGCTACCCACCCACACCCACACATGCACACCACGACACACACAAGCACACACACACACACACACACACACACCTACACACATTCATACAGATGAATGGACAATATTGATTATCATAAATAAAAGCTTTGTTCTTACTGCATCGATTACAGTAGGTTCTGTCATCTCCTTCGTTCGCTGTCTTTTCTCAGGTCCTTTGTGGGTCCTCCGTCGTGACAGGGGCTTGGGTCAGTCTTTCAGTGTGTATTTGTGTGTGTGTGTGTGTGTGTGTATGACAGAGAGAAAGCAGAAAGCAATAAGCTGGCTGAAATGGTGCCATCAGAGCTACATGATTGATCAATTGAATTCCATCATGGGGACTGGCCGGTGGGATTAAATGGGTCGCCGTGGGTTACCAAGCTAAAGCATCATACCGGCTTTATCTCCCCCTCTGATTGGTCTGTCACCAGAGACCTGGACCATACACTCCTGGCATCTGTATATGAGTGTTTGTGTGTGCGGCTATAGTAGAGAAGGAGAGATTATGATCAAGCAGTGTGTTTGAGAGAGAGTGGGTGAAAGAGGTTTTGTGTACTGAAAAGGTGTAGCAAGGTTTTGTGAGACATGCAGCACTGTGTGAGAGTGAGGTTTCTTTTTTGTTAGCTGCTAGATACTGTCTCATGATTTGAGGTTTACTAGTGTTTGAAATGAACTGAAAAACACTCTTTGTGCCAGGATTGCTTGATTTATTATTTTATTACGTTGTCAAATTTCACACAGACGTCTTCTCAAATAGGGGAAATATAGTTTACAACCAGTTTTAGAAGTATTATGCTGCACGCTTTTTTATAATCATTCCTATCGTTAAGAATAATATTTCACACGCCAAGTTATTTGCTAAGATGTAGGAATGCAGCAACATTAAGGCCAGATTTCTGAAATGAAAACCGGGGACATTTTTGGTTTGGTCATTAAAAAATATAATGTTATTATAGATGAAGTAAAAAAGGGGGACAGTTTCGGTTTTATGATCTGTCAAATATAACTCTTCTGAATGAAATCAAGTCATTTCGAGGCAGAAACTACCTTTTAGTCAGTAAGTCACATTCTGGCAAGTGGAATACTGCATTACATGGTTTATATTGGCCATTTAAAGGTATTTCAACAGGTAAAAAGAACTGGATTGGTTGGTACACAGCAAGTTAAATCATGTAGTCATAAGGATAATTGCAAAAGAGATCTTATCTTTATTTTAAATATAACTAAGCAATAAGTCATGTTAATTATAGGCTTAATTTTGTTTCCAAATATAAACAAGGATATTAGACATTGGCCTACCAAACACATATTCCATCGGCAACAACAAGCTTCAATTATTGCCTATGATCACGTAGGCTAAATGTCAGGCCTGGTTACCCTATAAACTGCAAACACTTATTTGGCCACAACTGTGATTATTCTGTTAAAAGAAATGTTAAAGTATCACAAATACATGCCTTTGCTCTACCACGGACAAAAAGTGATGTTTATTTGCACGTTATGTCTGTTTGATCCAGCTAAAAGCAGCTGTAGATGTCAAGAGACTGCACTTTAACACGCTGTGCGTGCTCCTGCGGACAGCAATCACTTTTCGGCATGACGCCTGTCTGCTGTCCAGACTTTCTGGCCACATAAGTCTGTTAACACCTTATACAGTCTTTGATTAACTCACAGTTAAAAAAACAGGGACATTCCAGACGGGCACAGGCCACCAAAACCAAGCAACATCACTTAAATGAAGTCTAATGATAATAAAGTTGTAAACAAACCCCCAGGTTAGAAAACTAAGGCAAACAATAGATTTAATACCCAAACTGTCTGTTGGCCCCTTAATTATTTAACCTGCTCACTTTCAGTTTTACCTCCAAATGAAATGGCTTAAATAATCTGGCTAAACTGCTTGTTTACATCCTGTCTAATCTTCAGACTGTTCAAACTTATCGCTAAACAAGAATGTCAATATTAGACAAAGATTGCAAAAACCTGGATTACATTGTAAGTATGGCAAATACATTTTGGCTGGAGTAAGATGACTAAAACACTCTCTACATTAAAGTGTGTGTACAGGTGTTGGGGAATACTACTGCAAATGTGAAAGAAGTTGTATAAAGCCTATTGTGGCTCCAGATGAGCTGCTTGAAGTCTGATAAGTAAGTCAGCATTCTTTCACTGTGAGTGAAAGATGTGAGTTCACCAGACCTGTGCAGCCCGCTTCTCATCTCTGTTGGATGCTAGCAGCCCATGGCTACATTAGCCACTACTAGCATAACACACCCGAATTTCCTACTGAACTGTCAGCAGTAAAGTTGCATTGTGGGTAATGTAAGTGGGAGGTTTTGACAAGGAAGAAGAATCCTTGTAATAAAAAAGACAATACCTCTGGTTCTACCGTGATTTTCTTTGTGTCCTCTTTTAAGGTTGGGGAAAGATAACGTACTGGAATTATCCTTTAATATTGAATGTGGTAAAATGCCCTAAATCTCTAGCTCTAGTTTGTTCACTTTCTTTCTTTCTTTCTTTCTTTCTTTCTTTCTTTCTTTCTTTCTTTGTTCTTGCTATATCACTCTTTGTTTTTTATTTAGCCTCACGGTCTGGTGCAAATGGATCTGTATTTTCAGTCCAAATGGGAAAAAAAATATATTTGAAGCCCCTTCCCCATCTCCACCTGTCTGTCATATCACTCCCCCTGCCGCCTCACACCCACTTCACACACACACACACACGCACACCAACACACAGTGACCCCCAGGACTAAAATAGGCTCCAAGGAACGGTTTGGAGCGATGAATTGGCTCTATAGCGGGGGATTTTCACCCTCATCCCCTTTTTCTCTTTATCTTTTTCTCTCGTTCTCTCTTTCTAATCATTTGCGGGCCGCGACTCTTCAGAGTTCTTATAATTGTCTCGTTCAGTCCCTCAGCCTTGCAATAACTGCAGGATACGAGAGCTCACAGCCTAATACTGATACCACAGCAATATATATTTGTGTGTCTGTGTGTGTATGGGTGATATGACAAGAGGGACGGAGAAGTGTGTATATATGAGAGGCGAGGGTGTGCTTTTGAGAGATCAAGAGGGAGAGACAGAATATGCTTGGTAATGGATGGCATTTGTATAGCATTTTCTCTGAGTCTCCACAATCTATGAAGCGACTCAGTCCTAAATCAGCTCACTGGGGTTTATTCGAGTCCATACTTGACTCAAACTTCTCTCTGCCTAGTGATTTGTTTTATCAACCCACGCCTTCACTCTCCTTTTGTTCCTCTGCCGTCGTCTGTTTCTGGTTTCTCCCTCTGTTACACACCAGACTCACAAACACCACCTTAAACTCTCTTCTCTTTCTCTGTAACCTCACCACTCCTTTCTCCTGTCTTCCCCTGTGTAGGTCTGCAGGAGTCACCACTGGCCAACGGGCATGGCCATAGTGGGCGGGACTTCCTCAGGAAGCAGATGAGAGGGGAGCTGTTTTCGCCACAGCAGATCGAGGTATTGGACCGCCTGTTTGACAGACAGCCACCCTGTCCAATCCAATCCAGCTCTGACCTCTATGTGAGCCCTGACTGTGGCAAGGTAAGGGCGTGGCACCGTGCAGGCTCTGGGCTGAGGCTGAGTTTGGGAGCAGGTCAACGTTCAACAAGACTGTAGGGCGCTCTAATGAAAAGTATGGTTAATGCAGGAGAAAACGTTTCCATTAAACACTGAAGAACAGACAGGGGCAGAGGCGGACTGACAGAGTCGCGGTCCAACTAGTTTGGTACCACATACTGTACCGCCTTTTTGGTCACTCATTTCCTTTTCTTGTGGGATTCCCCATCCCAACCCCCTGTTTTGGGTCAAACAGCCAATTTCAAATGCTTGCTTAGCTAACTTAGCCAAGACCTTTCACAGTGATGTTTTTCCTAACTTTTTGTTTTTTGTTTGAGGGATGCATTTCTAGTTTTTGAAGACATCTAGCGCTCGTTTCTATTGAACAAATAAGTTTGCCAATTTAATCTTATCTAATTTAATGGTGGACTTGTAAGCTTGTTGCTTATCTAGTTGTCACTGATGCCTTAGTCAGTGAAGTCGGGGTGAGTGACCCCAAATAGTGACCATGGCACGATGCCAAGCAGAAAAAAACACATAGACCATCTTTACATCTTACACTAAAATGTGCCCCTTATCCAGAGTGTATCTAGATATAATTTAACCTGATTACGTGTCCACATTGACATATGACTGAGATCCGATCTCTTTCCAGATCAAACGTCTGAATGTCACATCCTTGTCTCGGATAACTATATGCTTTCTGATCCATCTTTTAGTCAACTTTCCACTGTGATTTTGTTTCCTTCATGGATAATACACCCATATTTTCCTCTCTGTTCAGCAGTGCGCCGATGTAATAGCTTAACCGGAAAATGAAAGTGAAAAGTTCCACCTGGCATTGTTTCCTTTCTTCATAATGTGTACTCCTTTCTGCTATTTTAGTAGTTTAGTTTAACTCAACAGTGTGTGATTTAATGTTTGCAAACAGACATGTTAAATATACCTTCATCAAAAACACGAGCGTGTTCAATGAACGGCACTCTTTAAGTGTGTTCATGCAAAACACTGTATGGTCCTCAGTGCTTCTTGGGTGCATTTACACCTGTTCTTTCAGTTGTTTGTTTGATCCACAGCTATGTTGTTTATAAAGCATTTTTATAGAAACTCTTATGGTTATGGGGAAAAGCAGTTTCATTAAGATAACATACATGCACCAACAGATACACTGCACAGCTTGACAAACTGTAGAGTTTTGGTGCCCTATCTTTCATCTTTGGTGCTAGATGAAACAATTGTCTCTGCTTTTAGCTAAAGCCTGTCCTGCCTGCTATGCCTTACCATGCCATGTCAACCTTGTCAATGTCAAGTAATTAGTCAGACTGCACAACAAAAATCCATCTAAAATATTTCTAATTTTATCTCTAAAGCTATGCAGAATCATTGCATCCACCCCAATAATGTTTTTTCTGCTTCTTTTATGTTTTTTTTTTCAATGAGAGATCTGCTGAAATGTCAGCATCAAGTCGTGTTTCTGGGTTAGTCTGACAGACAGCTGCGAGTTTCTGTGGTCTGATACACACTGTGATGGCTGCAACAGAGACACCCAGTAAGGCCTGGCCTATTGATGTTCGTATAATCTAGATACACTGCAGGGGTTAATGAGCATATTGACCTGGATCTCATTATGACCTCACTTCCTGCTGCTCGGAGACAGCGATGGAGCTGTCTGCATGCTGATGCATCTCGGGAATGTGCTGCATATGTGTGTGTTGTTTGCATGTGAGAGGAAAAGATGAAAAACAAGTGCAAGAAATGGAGTTTCTGTCTTAATGTTGCATCTAAATTGACCTGCCGCCCTTTTCCAGCAGTATGTCAATGTAAATCTGAGTGGAATAGACAGGTGTAAGTAGTACGCTGAATAACAAAACGACAACAAGCTAACATTTGTATTCTTTCTACCTTTTCTCAGATATGCTCTAATCTGCAGCCCCTAGTGAAAATTAAGGAAATATTAATATGATGTCTCAAAATGACACTTTTGTTTGCACAACCTTTAAAGATACCCCTACTTCATGTTTATTTATTCAGTCAATGTCAAGGGCAAGAGGACAAACACATACTAGAGGAGTGGTAGTATATGGAGTCACGTATAGGCTACAGCCTTAGACCTTTAGAGCAGAGTTTTGCTTTTTAGCCCATTCACTTCCCTGTGACATGGGGAGTGGAGTGGCACAGGGCGAGAGGTCGATGGGGATTGGCGCTGGTAGCTCTATAGACTACAACTCAAGACTATAATACTCATGATTCATAGGTCAGTGTCCTCTCTGAGCCCGGTCAAGCCACTGGGGTCAGGGATAGGAGCTTTAAAGTGCGGGTCACCCTGGGGTCAAACTGGAGCTGCATTGTGATTACAAAGAGGTGCACGCACACACACACACACACACACACACACACACACAAATCTACATCACTATCTGTCCCTCTACCTTCGCTTCTTTCTCTCATCCTGTCTAGTCAACAACCCCCACTTTTCCTAGCCTGCATTTCCCAGAAGGAATGATTGACAGTCATACCCTTAACACTGACATGCTGACAGCTACAGCTCAGCCTCTTTGGTATGTGGGCTGAAGTGTGTGTGTTTATGTGTGTGTGAGGCAGTGCTGGTGGTGTTATGGTCAAGGAGGGTCACGCTGTATTGTGACTGACATTCTTAAAAGATGCCTGATTTTACTTGGCCCTGCTGTCGATGGTAGTGCTGTTGCAGCAGCAGCATGTGGGGGTGCCTTGGACAGTGTGTGAGTTTGTGTGTATCTGTGAAAGAATGACAAAAGGATGGAGCGCAAGCAAGTAAGTGAGAAACAGAGGTGCAAGTGGCTCAATGGCAGGATATATAGTATATTATATTGGTATACTAATAGACTGTAATTTCAGCGGTTATTTCAGGCTCCTCGTTATCTTTTATCTGTCTTGCGTTGAAACACGAGCCTCATTCATTATTTCTTTTTCTTTCATCCCACTGGAATAGATAAAAAGTAAAATTGCTCACGTTCATCGCAAGCAAATCTTATTTTATCTGTCACCAGTAGTTGCTCTTCTATCAGGTTTGTCCCAGACCTTTTTCTTTATCTTTCCTCCCTCTAACAAGCCATTCTTTTATCTCATCTTCCTCTTCTGCTCTTGTTCCCCCCTCTCCCTGTAGTCTATTAAGTCTCGCTATTAATTTGTGTGTGCGTGCTCGTATGTGTGTCTGCATGTGTGCCTGTCAGAGTGAGTTCATTTGAATTTCCCTTCAATCACTTCCTATTACCCAGGTGATAAATCAGCAGGGTTGATGGAGCCCCCACCCATCCATGCTGCCCTGGGTCCAAATGCCCCCCATAGCACCAACCAGTCCTTGCCACAATGGGACGTAGAAAGAAAAAGAGAAAGTCCTTGTCATTCTCTCCGTCCAAAAAGAAGTAAAGAGGGGATCTCTTTTGAAGGACGGTGATGGTTAAACTGGTTAAAATAGGCTGACAGACTCATAATGCACACTGGTATTGTGTATCATCAACTTGTGTCTGTATCATCAACTAGATGATAAAAACATTATTCAAGGATAAGGCTCACGTTATACAAGATTCCTCTTGCCATCAAATCCTCTCAGCCCCAAACATATTCTTTCTTACAGAAAGTACAATTCTTTAAAAACAGGTCATAAATACATAGTTATTACCTAAAACAGCAGGGCAAGCAACCGGTACTCAAATAGGAGTAAATAGTGTGTTTGTTGAGGACAATTTTCAGCCCTGAGGTGATGGACGGTATATGTCGGATTGATGCAAAATACACTACAACACCCATGAGAAAGTGAGGCAAGTTTTTTCTTCCTGTAATTTGCGTAAATTTGACCCCTGTACCTTTGTGCAGTCTGCGTTGATTCACCCCAGACAGTACAGACTGAACTCAACTCAACAGAAACTGTGGTTCTTGCTGTTATTTTTCTCCGGCCTCTCGTCTATTTTATCAGTAAGCATAAGTGCAAATTTGCAGTCTGTGTGAGTTGAAATTCTGTGAAACAGGTGTGTCTTTGCCTCAATTGCGACAACCCGGGCAACATGTTCCTCCCACTCCCAAGTCGTCACATATGGACGCTTGGTAACAACCCCTTGGCGTCACTTTTTAATGCACTGGGTACCCCTTCAGCACCATTTCTGGACATGCAGGGCTCCGAAGTCAAGAGAACAACAATAAACGTGCTGTCTGGTTAAATTAACATTAATAAATATGCAACGTCTCTCACTTTCAAAATGAAATACGTGCTTATCGAAACAGTCACAGTTTGGTGAGGTTTAAGCACCAAAAGAACTTGGTTAGTTTTAGGAAAAGATCATGGTTTGGTTTAAAATAAGTGGGTTAGTTATGTAAGTTATGTTCCGTAAGTTAAGTTAGTTACGTAAAATATAGGGCTGGGCACATTAACACATTATTATCGCATTAACACATTAATTAATTAATGGCAACAATTATTTTATCGCACGTTAACGTAGTTCTCTCAGGTGATTAGTCAAGCGCTCCTTAGTGGTTGTCTGTCTATGTGTGGCCCTGCGATGGACTGGCAACTTGTCCAGGGTGTACCCCGCCTTTCGCCTGATGTCAGCTGGGATTGGCTCCAGCCCACCGCGACCCTGTACGCAGGATAAGCGGTTGATGATGCATGGATGGACATAGCTTAACTTAAGTTTAAAAATAGGCCAGCGTTGTCTATTGGTTTCACAGAGGAAACGAATGCTGTTCTCATGGGTGAAATTCAGATGTTTGTTTAACTCACACATCTACCACAACCACCTCCTTACTCAGACTTTGTCGCTCTTTATACCATATCACCTGACAGTGACCTGACATATAATGCTTTAACCATTGAAAATTGATGCAAAAGGGGTACCCAGTGATACAGGGTTGTGTCTAATCCTGCCGATTTGCATCTTGTCATTGACTTTGTGCACAATCGTGCCACCTCTAATGTTCGCTTTGAGTTCTGCTTGAACACACATTCAGGCTTTGGCCTCTCAAGCAACACTTGTTACTAGGATCAGTTCATTGTTGGTTTTATTATGAGATTTGTTGACAGTAAGAAAAATGTAGACCATCACCAGCCTTATCCTTTCAGTTCTGTGTCACTGGTTTGTAATCACTACTTTGGGACAACAAAATAGACAATAACTGCACTAATATTTAATTCCAAAATTAAAATCAAAAAAACATTCATAAATTAGAATTGTTAGCACAATTTTTCATTCACAATGTATGAACTTTTACACCCTCTCCAGAGTTGAGGTCTATCTGGTTCATCGACAGATGAATATCCTCAGCTCAGTTTGAGCGCAGATGAATTCCTTCCCCACAATCCCTGTCTCAGTTTGTGGGTCTCTGAGGGAATTGTATTTGTTTATAGTCAAGCCTTCTTCCATCAGGAGTACACAAGACAATGTGGAGAGAGAGAGAGAGAGAGAGAGAGAGAGATGGAGAAATTGGGAGCTATTTGGGGAATGGAGAAAAAGGGAAATACTATTATGCAAATAGTGCAAGCCAACAGAGCCAGTCTTTGTGTGTTTGTGTGTGTGTGTGTGTGTGTGTGTGTGGCACGATTAGGGCTCATCTGTTATTGATGTGAAATTTGGACCAAACCATTACCTTTCCAGATCTGAGTCAGTAGACCAACCTGCTGTGTGTAATTGAGGGAGTGAGTGAGTCAGAGAGAGACAGAAAGGCACCTTAGTGGCAATATATTGTAATATTAAGGGAATATTCAGATCTGTAGTCATTTTCCATCATTAGGATGTAATATGTCAGGATAGCACCTTTTTGCTGTTCATAGAGATGCTCTTAGAGACATGGGAAACTTGTATTTATTTATTGTAAATCTTGCTAGCATGTTTGTGTCCAATCAACACAGTGTATATTTTTACACTTGATTTAAAATCCTGTCCATTTTTGCGTATGGATTTCAGGCTACATGATACAAATGATCCTCTGCAAGAATCTTATAAAATGCAAAAAAACTACACAGCAGTTTACAACTCTGGTAGGTCATCACTATGGCGCTCATTTCAATGTTAATGAGCTCAAATGTAGAAGAAGTACGCTGCTGAAGTTACAAAGTAATCCAACATTATTTGTGCATTTGGTTGTAACTGATTGGCCAATGTGGCGCTTTGCAGAATGATGTCGCATTGTGTTGTAGGAAAAGCTGAGCCAGGTTCAACTTTTATTCTGGACGATGATGGTTTTGTTTTGCTGGAGCTCTCTGCGCACCAGCAACACGTGAGTGTCATTAAAATGAATGAGGTGGCTTGTGTAGGTCTGAACATGGCATTATCCTTTCAGAGTCCCCCCAAAGAACCACGCTTTCTTTGTCTAAGTTCTTTCCAAATTATTTTCTCTAGTCCATTCATTTATTAAACGCGCAGCCATATCACTCTGTCTCCTCTCATGCTTCTTTCTACCAATGACTCCCTGACCCTGGTCCAGCACCGCGTGCCACCTTTTCTTTTAACCCTCCATCTTGCCCTGTACAACTCCCCCACCACCACCACCACCTCCTCAACAACCACCACCCCCCAAACCCCAACCCCTCCACGGCCCGGCAGCTGCGTCCCTCCTCTTTGATGAGGGCTGATGGCACTGTATGAGCGGTGGAATTGACAACATTTACGGGGCCGAATGAGAATGATCCATCTTCCTTAGCGGGCCTGTCACCCCATTGGCCAAACTTCATCATGGCCAATTACCACGGCAGACCCCTTCTTCTCTGCTGCTGCTGCTGCTGCTGCTGCCTGGCCCCCATCTACATGGATACATGGACACATTAGACACCATTATAGTAAGACAGAGAGCGGCCAAGAGAGGGAGGGGGTGTGGGGATAGCATGTATGATTGAGTGAAAAAAAAACTACAGGTGTGATGTGTGTAGGGGGAGGCGGGGGTGTTAAAAGAGAAAAGAGAGCTTAAAATGTGTCTGAAGTGTAAAGAGAGAGAGAGAGATGTGTGTGTAGTGTACTGGGTAAGCTCTTATTTGGCAGGTCACAGTCCAGTGGTTGTGTTGTGTGTTGACGAGCAAAGGGGTGTTTAAGAGGTCAGTGAGCACAAACACACGCCTACACTTACACCTCCACACACACACACACACACACACATATACACACAGAGATGCAGAGGTATTAAAAGGGTCAGTGCAAAACTCTCACCTCATCACCTAAAGGAAATTCTGATTGCTGTCATTAGTGTACACACACACACACACGCACACACACACACACACACACACACACACAAACACACACGGTTCAACAGTAACACAAAAAGAGGAGTGCATCCATTTTATGCAGTAAAGCGAGACATTTTATCTGCTGAGTTTGTGCACAAAGTAATTTGTAGTCATTGCAGAAAACATTAACAGTTTTTGCAGATGTTTTTGTCCAAAGCTTCTTATATTTGCAGACACATATAGGACACATCATGCTGATGATCATGCTGCTGTCTGAGGAAGAATGCCAAGCTTTAAAAGTGTTGCATACTCATGTTTGTGCACAAATTTTGAGTTGAGCAACAGCTTCCCTCTGTTTTTCTATATGTAGAGATGTACAAATGCAGAGAAATACACAAGAGCATATTAAAACACACACACATACCCACACACACATAGTCAGCAGGCAGGTCATTTGCTCATTGGTGGTTAATCTATATGTAGTTGGTCATCAGTGTCAAAGCCATCGCACAAAATCACCACACACACACACACACACACACACACACACACACACAGATCTGGCAGAGAGATGAGGATGGATGGGTCATGGTGTGGTTTTGGGGTCAGACACAGGTGAGGGGACAGTTTCCTTTATACGTCTATCTGTCTGCATTTTGGGACGATGAGAGAGCATGCTCAAAATCTTGACTGCATGATCTGGGTTGATCCAAAGGTCATAAACTATACTGGGGACAACATTTTTTTTGTATGAACAAACAGTAGAATGCTCAGGGCTTTCTAATGTAATTCTTTTCTCATTTGTGGCACAAGAGTAGTTTATGGCACTTGTAAAATCAGAAGAGGTTTGGTTTGGCACTAGAAATATTGAAATAAATGAAATGAGAGAAATATTTTTTTTCACCATTCACAAATCATGTGTATCTATTACATGTAAGTTACTGTAATATTGTGACTCTATTAATAAAATTCTCCTTGGACTTTTATTTTTTTATTTGCTTTACAAACTTCAAGGTCTTACTTTTTAGAAGCTTCTCAAAAGAGTTTGCACTGAGAATAACAACCATACAACTAGACAACAACTGGATATTGCTTGGTCACTTCAGTCTCCTCTTCTCTATATGTTTTTAACTTCTGTAGAGTGTGTGTGTATGTGTGCGTTTGGGTTAAGAGCACTGGGAGACTGCATACTTGGGTTGAGATGATCACAGTTCTTATTGTTGTTGGTATCTGGGGAGACAAGAGGCTTTGTGTTAGCCATGGTCTATGCGATGCCACTATATGTGTGTGTGTGTGTGTGTACGATGTGTATGATGTGTGTGTGTGTGTGAGGGCGAGAGAGATGAAGAGAAAGAGCAAGCTGATCCTGTGGTTATAGACTCTTGGACTTGGTTGTACAGTAAATCCCTGTCTTTGTAAACAGATCAATAATCTCTCAGTTGTACGTCTGTGTGTGTGTGTGTGTGTGTGTGTGTGTGTGTGTGTGCGCGCGCATGTTCACACTAAAGCATCATTGCGCTTTGCTATGAGGACGGGGCAGCATGGTAGAAATGTAGCCGGATATAACAAACAAATTGATCACAGCTGTAAGCAATATCCAGCATGACAGTATATTCATGTTGTATCTAACAGAAAATGTCATTTGTTATATTTTATTCTCTCTCCACTTCCTTTCTCTGCACAGACGTCCGATTATTCGGCCATGGCCTCACTAACTGGTGGATTGGACGAGATGAAGAACAGTTTAGCCAATCCTGGTACAGGGTCAGAGTTAGGAGCCAGTGTGTCCGGTCCACAGTCCTATTCACTCGTTCCAGGTAAGAGAGACATCCAGCTAATAACTGCACTCCTGCTCTGAAATAAAATGTGATTTACAATATTTTAACATTACATATTTATCAGGTAGCCTGATGTATCTGAAATCTTTTTGGGATTTACTGCTGGATTTTATTTTATCTATACAGTATGCACACTGTATGTCTTTGTCTTTATATTGTTTTTGTCTTTTTGGCAACACACCTGAATGTGCATACACCACTTTTGTAACAAAATCACATTTTTACCGTTTCAGTGTTTTTTTAATTTAGGGGGCATAGTCAGCGATGTCACTTTTATGGCCAGTGCGGTTACATGTGCTCTTTATTAAGAGAATTTTTCCATCATTTTCATAAATTCCCTGAAAACCTTTTTATGTATCCAACAGTACAATAACAGCAGCGTAATAACTTTATTTTGCATATTAACAACAACCAATCATGAAAAAATGAAGAGTCAGATATTGTAATATAAAATACTATATAATGATAAGCTGATTAAAGTGGACATTTTTATATATATAAATGTATATCTATATATATATATATGTGTGTGTGTGTGTGTGTGCGTGTGTGCGTGTGTGCGTGTGTGTGCGTGTGTATATGTATATGTATGGATATGCAAGAGAAAATGAGAGAAAAACAACTGGAAAATCAAGCCTAGTGCACTGTCCTGGACTTAGTATTACATACAGTGCACAGGTCTGGCTTTAGTAATACATAAGCCAAATGCCTTTTAAGTCTATCTCAGCAGTGAAGGAAGCTACATGGATTCTAAGTGATCCCATTTAAAGAGCTCAGCGCTTTGGATCTCAAGAGAGGTGGGAAGCCCAGAGGAAAGGTTAAAATAAAATTGAGAGCAGGAAATGAAAGGTGGAAGGATAGAGGAAAAGTGAGAGCCTTGTCTCTACCTCTGTTTCCATTTAGGGGCTCTGGGAGAGGCAGCGGTTAATTAAGAGTAGACCAGGGAGCGCTTGGACAAGGCTTCGACATTCCCATCTGTAATGAGGGGAATCATAGAGCTGGGAATTTGGGATATCTGGGAAAGGGCTCTTTTTTGCCCTTTGTAACCACTGAGGAATATTACCTGCGCTAGTTAGGAGAGAGAGACACACAGAGACACAGAGAGAGAGAGAGAAAGAGAGAAAGAGAGAGAGAGAGATGAAAATTTCCATTTCTGCTTATGCATGCAAACACACCCATTCGTATTCACACACACACACACACACACACAGACACACACACACACCTTCTGAATATTATGCATACATTTCCTTGCCTGTCGTTTCCCTCAGAATAGAGCTCCCTCTAGGGGATCAGACGTCTGTGTGTTTGACGCAATGTTATTGCATCCTTGAATTGTTGATACTGTGGACACACGCTGTAGAGCAACATTTACACATTCAATCTTCCCTTCAGAGGCCTTTCCAAATCTGTAGGGCATTTTAATTTCCCCCTGAACTTCACCTAGTGTACTCAAGTGCAAAGGGACATGCTGTACACCCTCGTTTCCCTCCAGGTTTGACATGTGTTGCTCTGATGGCTGTTTGATATGAAAGAGTTAGATAGGCAGACAGTAAAAGAGAAAGAGAGGCAGAGGATGTGTTCATCTGTAGCTGCAAGTGGGCACGGAGGAGACTTGTACTTGTACGTTGACCTCTACTGCAAAGCTGTGGAGAACAGATACATCAACACAACTGGCATACATATGCACAAATACACTGTGTGCACAAACACAGAAACACAAACACGCACACCTCAGAGGATCTGGCCCTGTCTGCCCCCTCTAAGTTGGGCTGTAGAGAGTCCATCTCTCCTCTCTTACCACCCTCTCCTCCCTCCCCTCCTTGCCCTGTGCACTGACCCTGAGCGGATGAGTAGCCCGTCTGCACTAATGCCTTGCTGTCGCATCAAACAGCGAGAAAAACTTTACTACACTGAGACAGGAGAGAGGAGGCGGAGAGGGACAGAGGAGGCTGGAGCAGGGAAAGGATCTGTGAGAGAGAAACACAAGTGGGAGGTAAAGAGGCAAATATTAAGTGAAGAGGACAGAAACATGAAAGGATGTGACGTTGGAGCCCCAGCTGATTAGTAACCACAGTTTGTCTTTGCTTACTCCCATTCCTCATATCAACTCCATTTCTTCTTCCATTTTTGTTCCCCTTGAATTATTTTTTCCCAATAAAGCCCGACTGATACCATATTTATGAAGTTGACCAATATTAATATTTGAGAATTAATATAGCCAATAATCATTTTTTAACACGTAAAATAAACAAACATTTTTGATGAGAATCCCTTGAATTTTAATGTTAGCCTGAATAACCTCAGTTTATGTACTGACAATCATGTTCCCCAAAGGATGTATCTTAACGACTTTGGTGATCCCTAAACTTTTCAGAGAGCACCATGATCATATAAAAAATAGTTTAATACTTATGTACTAATGTAATGACCAAATACCCGCAAAACAAATAACTTTCAGATTCTGCTGAATTTTGCGTTCAGTGCTAATTAGCAAATGTTCACATGCTAACTAAGATTTTGAACATTATACCTGCTTAATGTCGCCTTTTTTAGCATTATCACTGCTGACATTAGCATTTAGCTTAAAGCACGGCTATGCCTAAATACAACCTCACAGTGGTCTGACTTGTGAAGTACTCATTCATTAACTAAGTATATTAACATTATCTCAACAGATTTATTTCTCAGATATAGTCACTAGATACTTTTTTTCTTTCTTTTCTTTTTACATACAAAACATATAATATTTATAAAATATGATTCAGTGTTATAGATTTAACTACCCGGCAGTAAATAAAGTAGTTTAAAATTACCTCCATTTTGATCGACTGCAACATTAAAATGCTGTGTACGTGTTAATTCACCAGCAGTGGTAAAAAACAAAGTATAGTATGACATTCGGAGAATGGCCTTTCTGCATAATGAATACTTTGATTTTATCAATACTTATGGTATGTACCTTTATTTAAATATAACTTTGAATGTACAACTTTTACTTGAATTGGAGTACACTTACATTGTGGTATTATGTTCACGTAAGTAAAAAAATTCTCCTTCTACCACTGCTGTTCTGTCGTTCTCCTCCACCTACACCTCCCCTCTTCTCTTTTCTCTCTATTTTGTTTCACACAATCTTTCCATTCTCCCTGTCTTTTATGTTATCTTCTCTATTTCCCATCTCCTCCTCTCTCTCCCTCTCCTCCTCTCAGTTAGTTAGTGGTGGTTAAGTGGAGGGGAAGTGAATGGGATTGATGGTGTTAGCATCTGAGCTGTTTATGATGATGATAAATGTGTGTGTGCAGGGGGGGAGGAGGAGGAGGGTGTCAATGTGTGTGTGTGGTTGTGTGTGTGTGCATATATATGATGATGATGAATGGAGGGCTCCCTCTCCTCACACTCCCCATGTCTACTGCGTGCAAACACAGAGAAATGATTTGGGCCGACACACTGTCATGTAGTCTAATGCAGTTATATATCCAATCCACCAAGTGACAGACAGAGGGAGGTGTAGGGGGGTAACGAGAGAATGGGGAGTTGGTAAATTAATAGATGTCAGCGGATGGAAAACAAGATAGAAAGAAACAAAAGAAAGAGGGAAATCCTAAATGTGCTCCTTCAGTAAAGTTCCTGCACAAGGTGTAGAGTTTTCAAGGCAATATTTGTTAGCATATTAACAATAGCTAAATGCTACCACATTTATTTTGAGTATTTAGTTTAGGAGCGGAAAATAACAAACAGTAACAAACAGCTTAACTTGAACTGTTTTCATAGCACAACAGTAGTAACTAATAAAATAAAATTGCAGTCTATGCGGATGTCACAGTTTGGCTCATTGTTATGGCTTTCTAAGATCTTTTAATGGAACAGGGCTGTTAATGTTACTAATTACACCTGTGCTATTCTTGCTATGACATCATAATGTCTAACTGAGTAGATTTTTCTTTTACCAAAATCAGTCCAGTTAGGAAGGTATTACACAGTGGTGTGGGGTGGGGTAAATTTTTGGGGAAGCCAAGCAAGAGGGGATGTCCCTTTTGGAGGGCAATTACCTAATGTATTGTGCTATTACAGTGCAGGGGATAATTTTACACAAAACTGAATCATACTTTAAAGATGTGCATCTGTTCAATCATCAATACATACGCTGAGTTGCATTTACCGACAGTACGCCCTCTCTCTCTCTCTCACACACACACACTCACTCTCTCTCACCCCAAATAGCATACATAGCCCGCTGCTTATAGTGCACAGTACAATAAGGCTACGGTTAAGAATAAAAGAAGCATTCACAAGCTCAATCAGAAGACGTTTGAAGTTTTACATTTGCACAGTAGCAGTAGTGCATGTATCAAATAGGCCTACATACTTCTTATTTAATGGCCAAATGTTCATAACAGAACATCACTCAAGACTAACAACCGAGTACCAGACCAACAGAGTATAAACAATTAGTCAGGTAACCTAGCCCAGTGCCATGTGGCAGGTGCTGTCCGGAGCTCATCATCTATGCGTACACAACCGCAGTAAAAACAATAAGGTTACTTCAGCGGACTATTTATTCACAGCTAAATCCAGGCAGTTTGGCGTTGGTCTTCCGTCAGATTTAATCTTAAGTTGCTGCAGTAGTGGTAGTTTAGTAAAACTATTTATTATAACTAAAAACTACAAATCTCCACCCTCCATAACTGCACCAGCTAAAGTTGCTAACAGCTCCCGTTATTTCATCTGAATGACGTTGATCGCATGCTGTGATTTGGTTAGCGTGAAGCCAGACAGCGGCTGGCTTCTCTTGGCATCATCCTGACTAATCACATTTAGGCAGTGGCATAACAGTGGCCTCACCTGATTGGTTAATCATTTAATTTTTTTTCACAAGGGGATGCCAACTCTGCCTGGCCTCCCCGCGTAGTCAGACTGCAGGTCAGTCTACAGTGGTGAAATATAGTGTTTCACCACACAGCATTTAGAGGGGCGCTGTTTTACTTATTGTAAAATACTCAGTGAGAAATGGGAAAGAGATGACAGCAACAACACATAAGATTTATTGAAACTAAAAACATTGTGTGTGTATTAAAATCACAAATATAGTCTGACAAAAACAGGGGAAGCCTGGCTTCTCTTGGCCGCTGGGAGAAAACGCCACTGGTATTACATTTGAGTTTGTTTTGAATCTCCTTTCCTTTAAAAGTCCATTTCTGAGTAGAGATGTTGACAGCACATATTTATGGAAGTTAGACCATAGTCGGGTATAAACTCATTTGACAATGATACACTGTTTAACTGTTTTATAGTTCCTTTGCTGTACAAAAATTTTGTCAAAGTAACACCTAATGTTAAAGGTCATATGTAAAACCTCTCTATGTAAAAGGCACTCTTTGCTGTTTAGCACACTCACAATTAAGATCAGTCAGAAATCAAAATCACCTTTATCGCATAATGTAAAACTTTACTCAGCTGATGGGCCAAAGAACAACTATGACAAAAAAAACAATTTTGATAATCAAGTAATCATTTAAGTAATTGTTTTAAGTTCGAGGGCAAGAGACGTGAAAATCATCTGGTGTCTTACATTTTTATGATGGAATGGTTAATCTCTTTGGGCTTTGGACTGTTGGTCGCACACAACAAGACATTTGTAGTCATCAATTAATTGTTTCTGGGCAATATAGGACCATAACAATTTAAAGGATAATGTGCACGACTAACAGACAGCTAGGAGGTATAAGTATGATGACAATAACAGTGTTGACACTGATTGAAATATTGATAGTTTTGAAAATATTGATTATAGAATATATGTGTGTGTGTGTGTGATTGCAGGTAGAGACCTAGCCAGCACCACTCTGCCAGGCTACCCTCCTCATGTTCCTCCCACTGGCCAGGGCAGCTACTCCACCCCCTCCCTCACTGGCATGGTACCTGGTGAGTACACACACACACACACACACACACAAACCATACACTGACTGAAATGGTTTCAACTTTCCATACCTTTTCATCGTATTTCGCTTTCCTCTGCAGTAATTCTGTCACCTCGCCACCCATCACCTCAGCAGATCTGTAACTGTACATACATATCTGTTTGAATTCCCACTGGTTGTGTGTGTGTTTCCTGTATGTGTGTTTCCTGTGTGTGTGTCTTCGGAGGGTGTACTTAGCGTGCCACTTCTTCCTTCTTGTCTGTCTACACTGTGGCTGACAGTGCTCCCAGGGGGTGGCGTGTGTATGCGTTTGTGTGCATCTATACGTGTGTGTGTGTTTGCGCCCATGTTGTGTGTGTCTCTCTGTGTATCATTAGAAACCAGCCACAGTAGCACAGCTGTCCCTCCTCAACATTAGTAATTTGTTTTTAATGAGAATCACCAGTGACCCACGACTAATTCATTCATTCCCTTCCACTCCGCCTTCTACGCCGCTTTTGTGTTTCAATCCTGGACCACCATTCTTTTTCTTTTTCACTCTCTCTCTCTCAGTTTTGCAGTGGTGGTCATGGTCAGTGTGAAGCATACTGTAGAGAAATAAAGGGAGAAACACAAAAGAAACGGCAATGAAAGTCAACAACAATGTTGTTTACAAGTTCTTGTCTCTGTGTACTCCCAATCAGTCAGTCTGTGACACACACACTCGTGGGCTGACATGCACACAAACACACACACACACACTCTCAGTGGACATGTAAGAACAGCACGTCTAAAGATGGGTAACCCTGTCGCCCTGTCCCCCTGCGCTCACCCTGTCCTGTCCTCAGGTTTGACAGCATGTGTGTGTGTGTGTGTTTGGGTTGGTGTATGTTTATGTGTGTGCTGGCATGCGATTGTTTGTGTGCATGTTTGTTTTTGACAGTGTGTGCGAGTGTGTGACCTTGACACTGAGCTACACAAGGGAGACCCCTGAGCATCCTCTCCCCTCCTTCCATGCCCGTCTCCATCCCTCCCCTCGTCTCCTGAACAACCTGACATGTTGCCGTCACTACGGTGATGACAAGGGGAGGATGTTCGCACCCAGGGATGCCATGGAGACCGCATCCCGACCCCACCTGACAGACGCAGCTAAACACACACATACACACACACACACACTTGCACAAAGGGTAGTGCGAGAAAGAAAACTTGAAGTGTACATCCGCACACACAAACAGTCTCGACATCTAAATTCTTCTCAGTGAATATTCGAAGCTGCCTGAATCCACGAGCTGACTGGAATGAGTGGAAGAGATAATCTCCCAACTTTGCTTCTCCAGCTCCGCCATGTTTTATCTCTGCACTTCTCAGGCAAATTATCCTCCTTTTTGTCCGCTCTGTCTAATATCATACCTTCATTAAGCAAGCAACTCTTTTCTGCTGTTCTTCTTCTACTCTCCCTCTCTCTCTGTCTCTCTCTGCAGCAGGGGGGGCTGACACTCAGAGGGGGTGTAGAAGAGCAGTGAGGCAGAACCGACAGAACGAGAGGGAGAGAGGAGGGATGGGGGGTGGGGGGCATCAGGGTCTGTGACTGTCAGCTATGGGAGAGGGATCCCCCGGGAGAAGTGAAGGTTCAGGAGGAAAGAAAGAAAGAGCAAAAGCGTGGGGGGAAAAGGAGAACAAAAAAAGAGGAGAAGAAATGGGGAAGAATGTTGTTTTGATGTGAAGGTTGACGGGTGAGCCGTAGTCAGGCGGGCCACAGGACGAGAGAGAAAAATAAAAGAGAAAGGGGTGAAGGGAAGAGTGGGAGGGGAAGACAAGAGGAAGAGTAGACCCCAGACAGTAAGTAGTAAATGAGGGAGAAAAGCTAAGCTATCATCCTCTGTATGGGAGAACCACTACAGTCTCACTGAGATCTCCAGTTCAGTCACTCTCAACTAGTCTGCAAACCTCTCTACTGGCAACAAAGGGGCAGGTTTAAGCTTCACTGGAAGCAAAAAAGCAAATCTGAACAAGTCCCCTATGGTTCAGGTTTGTGAAAGATCGCAATCAGTGTCAAAAAACAAAAGCAGAGTGGTAAGTGCAGCAGAGTTTAGGCAGCCACAAACCAAACTGGGTTTTTAACCAACTGTTGGGGTAACTCAGTCAGTACAGACAGACAGACGTGGTGCTGTGCAGCAGAAACAATAAAATTCGGGATGTTGTTAGTGTTATGTACATGGAATATGAATATACAGGTGTCTTTTTATTCCATGTAAATATACATCCAGAATATGATCCAAATCAGGATAGCTTGATTGTTCATAGCAAAGGCTGATAGCTCAAAAAGTGAAGGGCTCAGTAAAACATCTTATTACCTCAGAAGGTTGGCGGTTCAATCCCCGGCTCCCCCTGGTTGTGGGTTCGAAGTGTCCTTGGGCAAGATACTGGCTGTATGAATGTGTAGTTTCTGTTTGTATGAATGTGTATGACTGGAAAAGACTAGAAAGGTTTGCTATACAAATACAGAGGCTGCTTCTAAACGTGCTCTGTTATTCTTGTTTTGTGTTTTCTTTCAGGGGGAGATTTTTCCGGAAGTCCATATTCCCATCCCCAGTATTCCACATACAATGAATCGTGGAGATTTCCTAACCCCAGCTTATTAGGTAGGTGCTTCCCACATCTCTGCACCCAGTTCTGCTTACAGGAACTGGATCAATAATTGTATCAATGAATTTCATTTCATTCTACCTCACATCCCAATTCCAGCTTCTCTAATACTCTCTTGTAATATGCTGTATCTTTCATGCTCCACTGTTCATTTTTTTCATTACATTATATTTCTTTCTCTATTGTACCGTACAGTACAATACATCACAGACATACTAATGGTTCTGTGGAAGGATGTTTTAAAAGACTGGCAATTTGGGGTGTGAATGGATTTGAAGAAAAGGGAAGACAGGCAGACAGAGAAAGAAGAAGGAACAGATTAACAGGCATTTATCTCCATCCGTTATCAGTGGTGCATTTTGGGATTTTGTGTTCACATTTCATTTTAAGCAGTTAATGTGGAGGAAGATCTCTGTCACCCCTTATTTTTACGTTTTCATGCAGTTACCCTCACATTAACGACTGAGACTGAACCGAACTGCCACCAGCAGGCAATTTTAGCTTACAGCCTATGAACTAATCCACTTTGAAAGGCAACGTGACATGGCAGCAGTCTTAATAATGCGTTTTCAGACAACAGAATCCAGCACCAGAAATATAGAAAAAGATGTCTTTTGTTGATTGACTGCATCTTTTTGTAACATTGCATTGTGGTTTGATTTTTTTGATTTAGCACTAGCGGTGGGTGATGTGACAATGCCATCAGAGATTTTGCCATATCATTTATAATGCACTACCTATCCCTTTAATATCTCTGGGGGGTTGAGGCCATTACCGATAATGTTGCAAATCCATGAGCAAGACTGATTTAGGTTATTGGATTTTATATGATTTTTTTTGCATCAATGTGATGAAATACCTTGATTTGTCTGGTATTTAATTTACTGGATTAGCCAAAAACAGTCCATTAATAATTTTATTATCGATTTTTCAAGAAAATGTAGTATATCACAATATAAATCAATATCCTGATATAAAATCATAGTGGATTGATAGAGGAGTTTATTCATATTGCCTGGTTAGATTATATGCTGTCATTTTCCGGCTAGAAGCTAGAGGATCTTTCATTGCAGGACTCATAGTCTCAGTTATTGTGCATCGGTACCGCTACCGGTGAGTAACTCCTACCAACTAATGACAAAATCCATAAATTACTGTCACTTGAAGATGACACAAGGTTGCAGAAGTTATGCTGAATGACATCGCAAAACTGTCCTCATGTCTCTGCATCAGTGTTTAAGAATAAAAATTAACCGTTAACAGTTATTGTCAAAGTTATTGTCTATAAGGAGCCGTTTTAGGGGTCACGTTTAAAGGTGAAACGGTCAAGGGGTGACGGTGTAAAGGTCAATAGGTGAGAAGGGTCAGCGCTGTGCTGACCTGTAGTGTCCCCCCCCCTCCACCCTTTCCTCTCCTCACCTCTCGTCTCCCTCCTTCCCTCCACCCCCCCAGTGTTTCAGCAGGATTATGGGTCTCTCCTGGGGACGGAAATCGGCTGCTCCTCCAGTCTCTTCACCAGCCAGGCAGGACAGATGCAAGGTAGGTGGAGAAAGAAAGAAAGAACAAACGAACGAGAGAAAGCAAATGAAATGAGTACGTGCAATGATTCAAGTGTATGTACAGAAGGAGGTGCAATGATGAGGGGAATTTATGGTAGAGCATTGAAAGAGAAGGAGACTGTAGGGGAACTTTAGTATGAGGACCAGACGCTCATAAGGTTTAAGATTGATGGCAAGGGGGACGTAGAGGCTGTGATACAAAGGAAAGGCAGGGAAGGATGAGAGTAGAGGTGACAAATGAAAGAAAGGGGAGTTTTAAAAAAGAGGCAAAAGGGCGTCTGAAGTCTTGACTGAGACTAAATAGTTTGTCAGGCCAGCTTAATGCCTCACTTCCCCAAAGAGCCTCGTGAGATTACCTGGACTGTGGACAGACATAACCTGTCAGCACCCAGCTGGGCTGATTGATGGAAGTGACAGAGACAGGTGTGCGTGTGTTTGTGTGTGTGGAAGGTTTTTTTTTTTCCTTCCTACGTGTATTAAGGTGTGTGGGTGTGGGTTTCTGTGTGTCTTTGGGGTTACAGTATTGAATTGACCTCTTCCCTGAGGAGAGAATAGACTCAAGGGATCAGCGGTAGTAGAGCTGTACTCAGTGTGTCAGCTTAGACTGTCACTTAGATAGTGTGTGTGTGTTAGAGAGAGAGAGAGAGAGAGAGAGAGAGAGAGAGGGAGGGAGAGAGAGAGAGAAAGTGAAGGGGGAGATGAAGAGAAGAGTGTCAGAAAGTAGACTGAGTTCCTTTTATTGGTTGGACAAGACAAGCAGACTGTCATTAGCTCCATCAGCTCATGTCATCTCATCCCAGCCTTTCACTACTCACATTCAAAGTAAAATATAATCTTAACAGAAAATTGGAGCTGCTCATTTTACATTTACACGGCATTACAGTAACCTCAGGTAGTTAAAGGATCATTCTGATTTATTACAACTTTGGTCTTTTTTCTTTTTGTCATTTTAACCATCATTCCTACCCGTAATAAAAATTCCACTGGCCAGGTTAATTGCTCATATCTGTGAACGTGATGACACTGCAACAGAAGTGGGACACTGGGAAAGAAACATGAGTTTTTTTAAGTTTTAAACAAATCACCAAGTTAGCCAAATTTGTTTGGAAGAGAAAGTAATTACTGTCATTGGGTAAGCACACTGTTTTCTCTGTGCAATGAGGGATTATTACTTCGAGGTAGTGTCTGAACATCTCAACATATCAGGTGCATATAGGCAAAAAGGCAAAAACAAGGTCAAGAGAAAAAAATCACTAGAGAAAAAGGCAAGTGAATAGATACTCTTGAAAAGATAATGGTCAAATGAATGAGTTATTATTTCCTGTTGCTTGCTCACTTTAAATTTTACAACAAAACACAGTGAAACATTAGCAGCTGTAGAGCCAGATATTTCCCTCAGGAGTAGGTGGAAATCAAACACATTGCTAGACTTCCATTCATCAGGTGGTCAGAATCAGGAATCCATATTAATGCTAATGTTGCTCTGGATCTACTGGATTTGTAGGCAATGTATGCTAACACATTCCCCGTTTCAACTTCAACAACTATTACGTGATAATACAGGATATCAACCTTACGTTTACAGCTTGTTGCATTGCCCAGAAGTGGCCAAAAGTTAAATTAATGCAGGTTTAAATAAGCTGAATGAACCATTTGCGTTTGTGTTTCTGCCCAGGGTCCCCGTACTACTACAGTGCAACATCACGGGGGGCGGGGCCTGCTGCTACTGCAACAGCCTCCGCCTACGATCGCCACTGACCCCTCCTACTGAGAACAGAGGAGGATGAGGAGAAGGAGACGAGGGAGGGAGGGAGGGATGGATAGCACCAGCACCAATCAGTACAAACCTGCCTACGCACGGACAACAATGAGGATGAAGATTTCAAATTTCTGACGTCAGTGAAGTTTGAATTTTCTTTGATTGACACTTAAAGCCAACAAACGCACTGCTGGCCTGCAACACAGACATGCTGTTTGGGTATTACATTACTGAGAGGACACAGGTGTGGCAGTGTCAATATGTGATAGATTAAGAAGATTTTTTTTAAGCACGTAAATTGGACTCCAGTACTTTTGTCAAGGCTTGGTATTCATTGTTTTAAACAGTCACCTACAAATCCAAGAAATCAGTGGACTGTGTGTGCAACAGAGACTGAAGCTGTATTGTGGTCTTCTGGGTAAAATGTGTTTTCAGGTTGAGTTGATCAGAGCAAAATCACTTATTCAAACAGTCTTTTTATGCCCCGACATCAATCAATCAATTTTCTATGCCATGCTACGGTGAAGTAAAGACAATCCAATTCTCATAACTTTAAATGACCAAAATCACTTAAAGCATTACCATTCTAGTCTCTCTGCTGTAGATTCAACACATTTCCCCTGGGATCACAATGCTTAATATTAAATACCCTACTTGTTCATGGGAGTGTCCAGTTTCACAATTGACCGTTCGCTAAGCCCCCCTTCCTACCCCCATTAGTTACTGTGCTATGCCTGGAGGAAGTGGAAATGGTGTTAAATGTCATAACAAAACAAAGAAATCTTTAGCTGTAGCCTGTAGTGACTTAACAGTTCATTGATGGCACAGTTAGCTAATGGTCAACACAAACCTCAACATCTGTCACTATTTGTTTGCGTTACACTAATCAGATTTTGTGTTCATTAATAATAGTGTAATTGCTTTATTTGTGTTTCTAAAAATACTTTTTTAGTTATTTATACAAGCCAAGCTCAAACAGCACGACTTCAGTAAATCCAGCAGAATACAGAATCAACCTCTGTTAACGTGCCTCCCATCATTTCCCTCCTTAAATGCACATGCAATGAGAAGAGAGGAGCACCTTGCAGACACTCAAACAAATAACACTCCGACTCCAGCCAGCTTGATAAATACAGCATGTTTGAAAAACAGACACAAAGGCCTTTGTAAATCTGGCCCACAGTTCAATGTATCTTTACACCTTTGCTTGTCTGTTGATGGTTTTTAAAAAAGGAAGATAACACTCCACCCTCCAAACTTTAAATGCAGGGTATTAGTCTTACTACAGCCAATCCAAAGCTTGACAGGTCTGCCGTGCCTAGTTGTGGTTGCTGAGCTATGACTGGATAGTTGCTGTTGGGGGTGGGCTTTAGCAAGCGGTCAATTTGAGCCATTTTAGCCAGATCCCACTGTGCTTCCCCAATAAGGAAAACTGTATCCTAACATCCACACTTGCATTCAAAGTGGTTTCAATGCCACTGACTGGCCTTCCAGTAAAGCACAGCCTAAAATCTGAGCCCTCTACTGTAAAACGAACAATGTACATGTTCACATCAGACCAAAATCAAATCCACCAGGGAGTGTTACTGTACAGGAAGGTGCTATCCTACCTCCCCAGCCAAGATTTAGTCCTGATCAAGAGCTATTTATAATGGAGGAGACACAGAGTAATATATTAAGAAGCTTTTCTGCGCTGCACTCCGTGAGGAGAGTGAATGCCTGTAATGATTTATAATATGTGTCACGCTGTTGTGCTAGAATAGTGATGATGATGATGATGATGACGATGCAGTGAAATATGAAATCTTAAAAAACTTTCAATATGAAAAGAAGTCTTTGTTTATAAATATGACCTGATTGCGATTTTCCTGTTTATAGTTTATAGTATCAGTTGACACCGGTGCCATTGAATAAGACGCCATTTTTCCCCCGCTTCCTGAATATTGAAAAGAAGAGCCAGGAAGCAGTGGCACCCTCTCTTTCTCTCTGTCTCTCGCTCTTTTTCTATCTCTCTCTTTAAACTCCCCAAAGATGGGCCCCCCTAGTGGATCGGCTGACTAACTACAAAAGCACAAAGAGACTCAATCATCATTTAAAGGCGCCATTTTGCTTTCCTTTCAGAACCATTTAGTACTTCTTCTTCTTCTCCCCCTTTTGAGTGCTTGTCCTTGTGCTGTTTGACATCCTGAAATTGTTTCTATAAAAGCTTGCTTTCGTGAAAAAACAAGTGAAACTGTTTTCTTTTTTGTTTGTCTCCTACATCAGTTCTGCGCTGTGACAATGTATGACACCAGGGTTTGAGGCCTTACCCATCCTGTACAGACACAGTAGGACAGAGTTGCCCTTCAGCACTGATCTGAAATCAGTGTGTTATCCCTCTCACATGTTTGAGGGCCCACGGTGTTGATCTTGTGAGGGGGCAATATCTTCCTAAACCTGTACGTAGCTTCCTGTCTCACTTCTGTCCATACAAGATTTGTACAGTAATCAGTGAACGAGAAGAGAAGACACAATGTCAATAGCAATTATTTACATTTGACTTTAGATTTTAGTGATGAAGCTTTCATTATGATAAAAAGACTAAGAGGTGTGTGGTGTTGTTTTAGCCATCGTCTGCAAGTGTTTACATATCTTTTGTTTGTTTGTTTTGGGGTATGCGTGGCTGGCCGTAGCGCCTTATTGCTACAGTGTAGTTTTGCTAGCTAACAGATTGGAGGCACCGAATCTGCAGCGTGAGACATAAAATATAGCTATATAAACATATAACTATAAACACTGAACAAAGCTGTTAGTTTGTCAATCTTTGTTGTTTCTTGTTTTTGAAATAGTGATAGAGTGGATCATTTTACATTTGTAGATCTCAAAAGTTGTCCAATCTTCTAAAGAAGATTCTTATGACGGCTCACCTGCTGTGCTGCCAGTGGGCACCGCAGCAGGAGCCTTTCCTTATTTCTGTCTCTCTCTCTTGATCTTTCTGAGGCATTATTGAACCTGAACCACACCAGCTGAAAACAAGGACAGTGCCTTTAGTTTTATATGTCAACACCCACCCAACCCCTCCCCACCCGACTGACAACGCATCACTAAAACAAGATTCAGCGTCCCTTCTTGCAACTCCTAAACTTGCCTATCTGCCCATGCAAACAGCAGCCTTTACATTTACATACTGTATCAACAGTAACACTGCACCTCTGATAATAGGACCTAGCCCTGATCAGGCACATTACACATTACGGTTCTGCATTGATATATCCCAGAACTCTGAAATTTCAGTCACAGATTCACTAATGAAATTTGTAACAGGGATAATGTTGAAACTCATCTCATGGTAAATCCTCTTAGCAAACAACAAACGACGTCAGGCAGCTGGAAAGTAACAAAAAAATATATATATTCCAGGAAAGTTCCATTTCTCTAAAGTCAATATAAGCCATGTAAAATCAAAGATGGCTGAGGACTCCTTCCTCACTAATTGATTAGAATGATGCGTGCAGCAGAACACTCAGTGCTGCTACTGGTAGCCTGTAGATGTATAAATGAGATTACAGTTTTAATCGCAGTAGATGCGTTTGAGATGACTGCGGCTGACTTTTGCAGACTTGATAGACTAATGTGAGCTGCAGGTGACTGCAGGTGACTGGGAATAAAAACGGCGCTGTCAAGTCGGACACATTCTACCTGCGTGAGCTTCTGGTGCGTTCCATTTGATATGGGAAGCTGGAAATTTCAAAGGGAACACGCCCTTAAGTGAAATTTCCGACTTGGAAAGTCAGGAGAAATGCTGTGTTCCAGGCAACTCAGAACTGGGAAATTTCCGACCTCCAACTAGAAAAACTTATCCTGGAACGCCACTTGAAGTCGAATTTCCTACTTGTGAACTCACGGAACACACACTGTAAATGGTAAACCATAAACTAAAAGGCAACAAAAAGTATATTTACATGTATTTAAATTAAAATAATAAGATCATATAGTAAAACCTGTTCTGCATGTACATTGATGTAGAAATATGTTAGGCATATTAGGTAGCTGGCTACAGTAAAGAATCTCATAAAGTCATCTTCTCTGCATTAAAGTTATTGTTTAAAACATTAGGAAGTGACTTGAGGGTTACTAAACCACTACTGTCACGGTCAGCCCTGGTTTTTGTTCACTTTCGGCGTCATGCACCACCATGCACCTGGAACGCATTGAAGTCGGAAGTTTCAACAACAGGGAAATATCCCAGTTCCGACCGGTCTCGAACATGGCAAAAGGCACTACCCCAACTTTGTGATCCAAGATGGCTACTCTGAGTATCAACAGTTAGTAAAAGCTGTAGTTTATACTGTTTATTAGCACGTCTGTGTACTTGTATCTCAGATAAACACACACAAAGTGCTGTCAAACGTCTGTGGACGTGTTGCTACAGTGTTTAGTATGAGTAAATATCGCACAATGTGTTGTTTTTTAACCAACCGGCCTAACAATGGCTAACCTGGCTAGTTGTAAACAATGGCTGGCCGAGCAAGGTTTTCCGACTTGTTAACTGGAACGCCGTCAACTCGGTGTGACATCATTCCCAGCTCAGACCTCCGAGGTAAATTGAACGCACCATTACTGTGAGCTGAAGTCAATGACTGATCTTGCGGCATTTGTAAAGAAAAATGCCGCGGAGACTAGGCAAAAGGTGGTTCCAACTTTGTGCAGCTGGAGAAAAGCAACTGCGGCCGCCGTACACGCCCCTTAGCCACCTTGCTCCCGCCAGGTTTTAATGTCATGTGACATGGTGACGACACAATTTCTATCCAGCATGCCTTATGTTAAGTCCAGCATGCATCACGTTAAGTCAGCGCTGCGCAGAACCACATGAAGTCAAACGCACCTATTGTTGCAATACAGCTGCGCAATAGCACCCCTGTTGATGAGGAAGGAGTCCTGCCTTGTAATGAATACAAGAAAAGTCCTTTCTCTGATGGAATAGAGAAAGAATAAATAATGTTTATAGCCATGAAACTATTTCTGGCATTGCCATGAAATTTGGTGAATGAATGAATCCCGAATGAATGACTTGATGATGATTCTCTGACTTTTAATCTAGCGCCAGCATCAGGTCAAAATCTGGTCTAAACATCAGTATGTTAGCATTTAGTTCAATACAAGTCTCTCCACCTAAGTGCAGAGTCACAGAGCAGCTTGTTTTGCTGTACACTCATAGTCTTGTTGTTACTTCAAAGTCATCTGTTGTCATTTTTTTCTAGCTTCAAAGTCGCCAGGGTTACCTAGCATCCAGTTTATATTTTCAACATTTTTCCGTGACAAATTTCATGAACGTGTCTCTGGGAGATATTTATACACACTATATAAGGCCCTGGATCAGGGCTAAACAGGACCTACTGGCCAGAAAAGCAGTGAACACCGAGAAAAGGCACGAAATATACAAAAAAAGCCAAGTAAGAGACAGACAGCTTGTAAGTCTGTTCATTAACATTGCTTTTTTATTCAACCAGAGAGTCTTTTAAATTAATTACACAATTTTTCACAAACACACACACTACTGTAAACATGAAGAAATACTGATTGAAAGTTCTCCTTGTGGAGGTGAATCCAGTTGCGCCTCCTTCGACACCAAATTGGACGCCCATTCTCCAGTGTAGCTCAGAATCCACAGTGATACGTTAACAGGATTATTTGTTTAACTATGCATCTCGTAGTGACACAGCTTGCCTTGCCATTGCTTTGACCTAATTGGTTCACATGGGGAGAGAAGAGGTTCTCATTGGGCCGCAGTCGTTTCGATTGGCAGCCGTGACATTGACTGCCGCGATGAGGGGGGAACTATCATTGTGGGTGGTACTGTAGGAAGCACGGTCGGCAGAGGCCACACACACACACACACACACACACACACACACACACACACATAAATATAACTACAGACACACACTCTCCCTCCCTTTGTCCTTTGCGGAGTGGTGATCGCCCCTCCTCTCATGCCCCTGTGTTCCCCAGGGGAGGCCAAACCTGCTGTGCCATCAGAAGCTCATCCCGTCTTTTTTCTCCCCCTCCCTCAGCCCTAATCTCATCATATCTGATGCCCCCCCCCCCCACCCCCACCTTCTCTTCCCCTCCTGTAGCACTGCCACACTACCAGGATTAGGAATATTAAAACTATTCTGTTGATTTCAGGCCTGTGACCTTCCTCAAAAAGTCCTCCCTCGTTCTTTAGACAGCCCTATTAATCCTTTTCTCCACTCCTTTCTTACTTTTCTCCCTGACTATTCAGACGTGATGCTCACTGTCCTGTCAGAAAATTCTGCATAGGAATGAAGCACGGTGTTTTGTGCCAAAGCGAGGTCATTTCAATGGCAATATTGCTGCCGGTATCTTTATTTGGCCAAGAATATTCTTTGAGATTGCATTTTAGCATTCAGGTTTCTCTTCATGTATCTACAGAGCATTTAAAACACAAAGAAACACTAGTTTCAGATCAAACAAAGACGTTTCATTTCCTGCTTTGCTAAAGTTTACCGTCCATGAAAATACAATCGCATCCTGATTTTGTTTTACCCCAGCTCCTATTCAAATAAGGAAGTGAAATAAATGCAAATTAGTTGTTTCCTTTATTATGATTTCTCACCGAGTGTGCACTGTCTGACTGTATCTCAATATGAATCCACGAAGATGGCTACTGCCTTCGTAAAACCTGAGGGGATTTCAGCATCACAACTTGACAGCAATTAGTGGCACAATCTGTTTCATGCTTGCTGATATAACTAGGCTCTGGACAGATCTCGTACTGAAGTGTTACAATGTTCTGTACATCTTAATATTATTCAACTGTGGAAGAGGAGAAATACACAGGACTCAGCCTACAAAAATCAACTGTACTTTTCAAGCAGATGTTTCAATCAACAAAAAAAATAGATAACATGATTCTTCACCTTACTGTGGCCTTTCGTGTAACAATCTGGAGTTTTTTGTGTCCATGGCTTCCTATATGGGGTGTTAAAGAGACATTTATATCTGTAATGTTTTGGTAAAAAAAAGAACAAACAAAAGACAGAAAGAAATACATTAGAATGCAAATACAGATTCAAAGATGAAATTAGGTTTTAACGATTTAGCTCTATTCTTCAAAATCCAACGCGACAAAAAGAAAACATATCTGTACCATTCACCAAAGCCTGTGATGCCTGTTTTAAATGATAGATTCTTGTACAAAAAACATATAAAATAGCAGAAAAGACTTACAGATACAAACACAAAATGAAGATAAGAAATGCCTTCAAATATTCTGGAGGGGAGGATTTAAAAAAAAAGTAAAAGAAATGCTTCTTTAAGAAAATGTGTATGTTTTTTATTCGATTTTCTAGTAGTTGCAAACAAACTTGGTGTTTTTTCTCTTTGTGTGTCGTGTGTTGTCTTAATATTTGAATGTATTTTACTGCAGTGCGAATTTGCCAAAGATATCATATCACTTAATTTCTCTCCTTTATTTTTTTGTTTCATTTCTTTTTGTTCCTGAATTGTGACCAATTTTGTTCAGAAAACTGGAAATAAATGGTAAATTTGATATTATGCTTATTTTTCATATTTCTATTGTTAATATTATTGTTATTTTATTTTCTGGGTTTGAGTTTACTGTGAAATATTAAATTGCAGTTTGCTTGATGCATCTCTTCATACTCAGTCTGTGTACATGTCCATCTGTCCACCTGAGTGACTGTTGTTGGTGAATTATTCCATTTATGTACCTGTAATGTGAAGCTAAGAAGTAATTATTTGTAAATATTTGCCATAATTTTATTGGTCCTTCAGAATAAAAAATAATTTTTTGGAAGTTAAAGTTTCTGTGTCAGTACTTTGCTGCAGATGTACACTTGCAAACAAACAACACACACACACACACACACACACACACACACACACACACACAAATACTTTAAATGAAATGACACATTCCTCAAAATCAGCCTGGACAGCCGGAGACTTCCAGAGCAGTGTGACCCTGCAGCGTAGCTTTCATCCTGGGGACACAGATCTCTTCTTGGCATGTCTGTCTGAGTGAATGGAGTGTCCCAGTGCTGCAGTCTTG